GATGTATCATTTTGAAGTTAAAGCAATGTAACAAAAATTAAGTAACAAATTAAGTATTTGATAACTGGAAAAGAATATATGAACCTATCGGCTTACAGTATACTGATGCCCAATTTCTAGGCTTTATTGGTGATGATGGACAGGATTGTGGGACGATTATTGCCTTTTCAGCTCATTAGTAGAGGACAGAAACTAGCCAGACAATAATGTGTCAATTGTTGAGTGGGCAAAAAAAATGAAAAAAATTTTTTTTGCTATTATTCTTGCCAGAATAAAAAAATAATAATTGTAGAGAAACCCATGTTCTGTTGTCATTGATATTTAACTTTAATAGGTAGAACTGTCCGAGATATAAACAAAATTGAGTGATACATCAAACTTTAATTTAAAAAATCTTGAATAGTTAAACTTTATAATCATTCATTAATTTTCTTTTTGGCTTAGTTCCTTTATTAAACTGTGGTCGCCACAGCGGAATGAACCGCCAATTTATCCAGCATATGTTTTACACAGCGGATGCCCTTCCAGCTGCAACCCGTTCTCATTTACAACAACAGACAATTTAGCTTACCTAATTCACCTAAAATGCATGTGTTTGGACTGTGGGGAAAACCGGAGCATCTTGAGCAAACCCAGGCAAACGCGGGGAGAACAGGCAAACTCCACACAGAAATGCCAACTGACCCAGCCAAGGCTTGAACCAGCGACCTTTTTGCCTTGAGTCGAGAGCGCTACCCACTGCCCCACCCCGTCACCCAAGTTTGTAATCATAATAAATTATAAAAATAATGAAAAATAATTATTTTAAAAATCTTGAATAATATTAAAGATATGACATAATTCTGGAAACGTATTACTTCTCTGTTTATCTGTCTGACTTTACAGTGAGGTTTCTTTTGACTGACCCCTGATGTTTTAAAGAATATCACAACGACGAACGCGTCTAGTATTAAAGCCTCATCCATTTCGTGAGGTGCGCGCACAGTCAGCTGAGGTGTGCAATGCGGAGCCAGGCGAAAGTATAAATAAGCCTCAAAATGTTTGTTTCTTTGTTTTTTTGTTCCTGCACTTCAGTGGTGCATCTAACCTGTCTTCAGTACTGTTCTATTTAAATAATTTTATTTTACCACAAATTTTGTGTTTTTGCATTTTTTCTTGCATGCTTTTGATATTGTGATATAGGTCTTAAATTTTATACTTTATAGTCTTAAAGAGGTCTTAAAAAGTCTTAAATTTGACATTATGATATCTGCAGAAACCCTTTTTTTTAAGACTTAATCTATAGTCTATAATCTGAAAAAAAAAACATTATGGTAAGAAGACATAACTTAATTTGTGTGATATTTAATTAATAATATTATGTTTAGGCACTAGGCAGTGTTGTTCTGTGGTTTCTGACGGTTCAGTTCCCGAATTAGGTAATTAACAAAGTTTCTCCATAATTTGCAAGTGTTTTTTATTTTATTTATTAAATCATCTATTGATCGTACAGATAAAAGAGGCATCATTTGAAATAATAAAAAGTCGTGCATTTGTGCATATTTCTGTTATCTTTATACTCAAAATAGCAAAACATTGTTTTTGTAAAATAATCATGGTGCACAGTGGGTATCACTATCGCCTCAAAGCAAAAAGTTTGTTGGTTCAAGCCCTGGCTGAGTCAGTTGGTGTTTCTGTGTGGAGTTTGCATGTTCTCCCCATGTTGGCGTAGGTTTCCTCTATAGGTGCTCTATAATTATAATCGATATTTAATGCTGTTTACATAGTTTTAAAAGTGTTTATAGAATCTTTAAATGTGTTATGTAAATTGTGTTTAACTGCCTGGATCTTGTCTGACTCCGCATTTATGGATAATTCCACCAATACCGCCAAGCTAAAAAAGTAATTTGTAATTTTGTAATTTGAGTAGTTTTTACAAAGAGTAATTTGTACTTTTACTTGAGTACTTTTTAACACCAGTACTTTTACTTGTAATTGAGTACAATTTCAGCAATGTAACAGTACTTGTAATTGAATACAATTTTTTTGTACTCTTACCACCACTGGTAACGTATCATAAATCTCCCAGTTTGGATCACACTACGTATTTTGAGTCACAGGTCGGACCATTTTTTGCATCTGCAAAAGAGGAGTATACAAATGTCATTTGCTTTTCATTTATTACAAAAAACAGTAATGCAAGAAACCTTTGATTTTTAACAGACATAAATAAGAATGTCATTTTAATAAAAATAAAAATCAAGAAATATCCAGCTGAATAATAAAAAGTAAAATATTTCATTCTGTGAAAAAGGATTGTCGCTATTGTTGCAGACAATGCTAAATGTATTATAATTATAATCTTGTATAACACATCATATTTATTTTTTAGTTTCATTTTCAATTAATGATTCAATAATTCACTTGATGTACCGTTTTTGAAGAAATATTGAGTGACATTTTTGTTGTTTGTTTGTCATCACCTATTGGATAATGTAATTGCTACAACTTTCAACACCGTCAAGATGCATTAAACGGTGATTTTAATCTTTACCATAAACATCAATGTTTATGTCTGAATTATGAAAATTCTAAACTATATACTTGTGTGTTTTTTGATTGTTTGTAACTTTGTAACTGTTGAAAAGTGTAAAAACTTCATCTCTCTCGATCAAACACAGGTTTGAATGCAGCGCATTGAAGGACTATGTTGTGTGTGTTGTTTAATTGTGCATCTATACACTGAATGCATTAATGCAGGCTAAACAAGTAAAAACAGAAAACATCTTTAATAATCTAAAAAAGCCTTTAGATGCCACCACAACTGCTTTTGTCGTTGTTATATTTTACAGGAAAGCCAAAATTCTTTTAAACGTGAATGATATGGGGGTTCCGAGAAGTTGATTGTGATCTGTACAGACCAAGGATCAACTATGATCCGTTACATAATTGTATATAATCACTTTCTAATTATCTTATAATAATGAATATGCTGACTGTATATAGTAGTAAATTTCTTTAGGCGAGTAGTGTAGTTTTAAAAGTAGTTCTGTGAGATGATGTTTTTCTCTTTCTCTCCAACTTTAGTCCATTTTGGGGAGCGCACGCAGTCCCTGGTCTTTCAGCAGTTCCATCTGGTCCACTGGCAACGACTCCACCCTTCACTCCTTCAGTCCTCCTGCAACATCCACCCTCCCTGACCTGGTCAGTCACACTGCACCTCCCACACCTGCGCCAAACGACATGGGCCGCACCTACAATCCCTGGAGTATGGGCTGGTCTCCCTCCCTCAACCGCTGGAACTCTGAGCCCTGGCCAAACAGCCCAGACAACAACAATGGCATCTAAACCACAACTGCCCCAACGAGCTAAAGAAAACGCTGTGGTTTCTTATATTATTTTATTTTTCCTGGTTTAACAGTATGTTGTACGCCAAGATCATTTTAATGATTGGTAAAAAAAAAAAAAATTGGAATTCTGATGGTACAAATTTCCACTGGAAATCCAGTGTTTCAAGTCCCCTTCGAAATTCAGACATATTTATTTTATTAGACTGTCCTAAATTGCCTTAAGTTCAATTTTTAACTGAACGAAAGATTGAATACATTGAATAAATTCTATTGCCCTTGTAGGGGTGTTTTTCTTTATGGTTTTAGAGATTCCTGTTTTGAGTAATACTGCATTATTTGGAATTAAAGTATGAGGTGCAGTATTAATGTATTAAAATGCAAGAGGCAGTGTTACTCAACCTTAAAATAAGCACTTTGCGTAAAACCCCACTCTTACAGTTCTGTTATCTTGGTTTAAGAAGATTTAATGCATTTTAAAGCATTTTCTGGCCACGTTTCTTGGTTGATTTAATGTTCAGAAAGATTCAAGTGGCTGCTGAGACTACGATTACCATTGATTTGAACCCCTCTAAGTCAAAGCCAAATCGTTAAACCATTGAAAATTTGAGATTTTTATGTTCTTTTAATTGGCCTTCGCTTAAAGCGAAAAGCTTCATTTGCGGAAATTGGCTTTTTAATTTGAGGGAGCTGAAAGAACTTGAAATATGTTCTGTGCATCATTTGTCACTTTAAGAGTGAACGTTTGGTCACTTTGGTTGAAATAAAAACATATCAGGCTGGAATACGGACTTCTCTTTTTATTTCTGTTTCAATGGGGTTTCATTCACCCAAGTGTGAATCTTGTTTAAAGTCTTCTGTCCATCTTCAGAATACAATTGAAGCTACTGTAAAGCTTGAGAGGTTCTGTATTTTGGCGGAAATTTTAATCCAAGTATTAAAAACAACAAAAACACGTTCATATAAATCAAGTCTATTTTATATGAACAGATTTACTTAGGTTTTTTTCTTGGATATTAAAGCAATTATCAAATGATTCATATAGATAAATTTATGGTGTATGTGGCGATTCAAATAATACTTAAAAATCTCTGCTTTGGAATGATATGACGGTGAGTGAAGGATGATGATTCTTTTAACTTCACTGTATTATTAAGAGTCAGAGATATTTTGTTTTGCATGTACAGTTGAAGTCAGAATTATTATCCCCCCTTTGAATTTATTTATTTAATATTTCCCAAATGATGTTTAACAGAGCAAGGAAATTTTCACAGTATGTCTGCTATATTTTTTTCTTCTAGATAAAGTCTTAATTGTTTTACTTCGGCTAGAATTAAAGCAGTTTTAAATTTTTTTAAATACTATTTTAAGGTCAACATTTTTAGCCCATTTAAGCAGTTTTTTCCCCCCGATAGTCTACAGAACAAACCATCATTATACAATAACTTGCCTAATTATCCTAACCTACCTAGTTAAGCCTTTAAATGTCACTTTAAGCTGTATAGAAGTGTCTTGAAAAATATCTACCAATGTCTAAACAGACATTGTGGAAAAAATTAAAGGGGGGCTAATAATTCCGGGGGCTAATTATTCTGACCGCAACTCAATATGCACTGCATTTGTCTCCAAAAACAAGTTCTTTATGTGCTTTATATGAACCATCAAAGATCACAGTTTCAGCTAAAAACCTTTAATGTTTTAAAGAATTATAAGTACATTAACAGCAAGTTTTAATTTTCAGCTCACATCTGAAGATTGAAATCTTGTAATACAAAAGCACTGCAATGAGCTTTATTTCTATGCTATTTGAAAAGAAGCATTGAGCATTGAGCTGAACTTTTTAAGGTCACATGTCCTCATCACAAAAGCAAGATGGCCTTTTTTCAGTGTATTGGCTGCGTCCACAATCATCATGCCTCGTCCCAGTTCACCTCGTACCTCCACACGTACAGCACACCGCAAACTCTCTGTGATCACACTGCTGTCCAGACAGGCTGCCACAGCAAAGGCATCATAGGGGACAAACCCTTTCCCAAAGAGCACGTCTTTGTTGTTGCTGGAGTTAAAATCTCTAGAGTAGGCCCAGCACTTGGATGTGATCTTCTTTATGAATTGAGCAACTGATGTTTTCTGATTAACCAGTTCCTCAAAATACTCCTGGAAACATACGAAGCTCAAAATTTAGATGGTGTGTAACATTTGAATAGGTTTTTGCACATGATGGATGGGTCTTACCCAAGATAGTTTGTTTCTGCAAGTAAACTCCCAGGTTGCGATGTGTGTCGGGCAGGTGTATTCCTCCAAGACTACATAAGCTGATTCAGCATCCATCCTGAAATTAAACTCTGACGATGGCGTCATATTCCCCTTGCCTGGAAGATAAACAGGGTCCAGTTTGCATAGATGAAGCTGTTTGTTAAGAGTCCTGACCTGTGCTTCTTGGCTCTGACTTGATATTTATGTAATACATAATCATTAATAGTTACAGTACAGTTACTCATTCAGGGTGTCCAGTTTTTATAGAGCAGCAGTTTCCTTACCTTCCATGTTACCGCCCATTACATACAGATCCTTGAGTTTCTGAGGGAGACCGGGATCTAATCTAACAGCCAAAGCCAAGTTGGTGAGTGGACCAAGAGCTATGAGAGATACCTGTGTGTCAGTGAACAGACAAGTGCATTCCAATGTCATCCACAAGAGGGCACCACACAGGAGAAAAGATCATGTTCATTTCCTTTTTAAATGTTCTCTCTGTCAATGCTTTTCAACCTTTCTTTGATGCATCTTAATATTTACCATCATCACCATTAAACTCATGAATGAGACATCTATTGAATGCGCATGGCATCATCATAAATGTTTTATTCAAATTAAAACTTAAAACTTAAAATCTGTTCTGCTATCACCTGAACCTCTGTGAACAAACCTGGACCTGGTCTTCTCTTCACCACAACCCAGGCCTGTAGCCAGTGGGGGATCAGTGGTTTAAAAAACTCACTTCCCCACTGACAAAGTCTAGAATTTGGCCACTATATGAGTACATTTGACCCATTTTTGACAGTATGCCATCATAAATTGTGAAAATAACCAATAAAAAGGATAAAGACAAATTAAGTTTTTACTTATTTAAATTTACAAATTCTGACTGAGGAAATGAGCTGGTGGCCAGTTTGTTACTTACCTAGAGGCTACAGTTTTTAATGTTGTTGTTGTTGTTGTTTTTTTAATTAGTTTTAATGAATTTCGAATTGTTTAATGGTGCAAGGTTGCAAATCTGTATTTAAAAGATTTCATACTTCACCATTCAACAAGGAAATGCAGCAAAGATTAATACCTAAAATATCGCTACAGTGCAGTATTTGAACCTATAGTTTAATAGAAATTAAGGTGAACAACTGCAAAAGCTTCACTTTTTGAGAAAAAAAAGAACCACCACTATCAATAGGCTGACTACAGGCAGTCACACAGGTGAGTGGGCTTGTGAAACCACCTGTAGAAAACACACTCTTTCATCTCACTGACACTTGCAACAGTTTTGCACATTTGCACCCTACATTTTCTTACAACAAACAGGCTACTATTAAAATTGTAATGTATACTTTATTGAGAATCTTATTAATCAGTGGTGGAAAGAGTACTGAAAAATCATACTCAAGTAAAAGTACCATCACTTGCCTAAAAATGTAGTGCAAGTAAAAGTATCTGTTGCAAATATTACTCAAAGTATGAGCAAAAAGTTGACCTTTCAAAAGTACTTAAAAGTAGTGAGCATCACACTAAACGTAACATTCTGTAGTGCATTTAGTTATCGCTCAGCAGGCACACAATGTCATAAGATGTTAATATAAGCTTAGATTTAGGTTGTGATGTCAGATGACCAAAATTCAATGTCTAGCCAGCATTTAAGGACAAAGTTATTTTGATGTCTAATAATGGCGTCAGATGACGTGGATATTTGGTTGATTTTAGGTTGTGTTAGAAAGTGACCAAAATCCAACGTTGAGCCAAATCTTAAACCAACGTCCTGCTGACCTCAAATACTGACAGTTATTAGTCAGGTGTGGCAACCAAAATCCAACATCTCATAGACGTCATAGTGGTAACATCTACACAACGTCAAACTAACAAAATTAGGCATTGATTTTAGGTTGGACATTGGACACTGACATCGGCCTGAAGATGGGTTCTGATGTCAACCAGATTATTATTATTATTTTATTATTATTTTTTTTCAAACAAAATGCATTGTCAATCTGATGTCATGTTGAATTCCTGTGCCTGCTAGGTGTTAAAAGCCATTTTGGTCATCATACAGTAAACATCCACCATCTTCTCATCAGTGACATGCATCTAAACAGTCTCTGGGTCAATGCATGTAAAGATTTTGGACATCTTCTTGGACACTTTTAATGCTTCCAAACAGTTTGCTGCAAATATAAAATCACCCATGTTTTGAAGTAGTTTATTATGATGAGATTAAACCTTCTATGTGTGATTTGATTGGACAGGAATCACAGGACTGGTTTTTCGAATCCCCATAGACAAGAAAAAATAAAGGATTGACTGCAGGTTGAAGGAAAGTAGTGGAGAAAAAGTTCTGATACAGCACTATAAATGTACTCGAGAACGTAAAAGTACATGTTTTTAAAACTACTCAGTTGATTACAATTTCTGAGGAAAAACTACTCAATTACAGTAATTTGAATATTTGTAATTTGTTACTTTACACCACAGTTAATTATTAATTTCAATTACCTAATTTCTTTTTAATACTCAAAAATTTCAGCCAGATACGTTATTTTTTAACCGTAGCTTAATGAAATGCAAGTTAACGTATTGAAATACAAAATTTATTTTCAGCTTGCACTGTTAAATCATTTTAAGCCCATCTTTTGATATAACATTTTCTACATTTAAAATAAATACATTAAATATTGAATAATATGTATGTATTTATATTTATTTTATTTTTATTATTTAAAAAATAACATTGTTATATAGTAAATAGAGTCGAATCTTAGAAGAAAAGCAGTCAAATCTGATTAATGGACGTGTAAACTAAAATAAAGCTGCATTAAGGCTTTCCAGGGTTAGATGGATAGATAGATAGATAGATAGATAGATAGATAGATAGATAGATAGATAGATAGATAGATAGATAGATAGATAGATAGATAGATAGATAGATAGATAGATAGATAGATAGATAGACAGATAGACAGACAGACAGACAGACAGATAGATAGACAGATAGAAAAACTCACTAAAATAAATCATCAACTAAAAGCAAATTAATTGTATTTATAAGTGGAATAAACATGCTTAAGAAATTAAATGTATTTAGATTTAAGTCAACATCTTATAAATACACAGGGTTATTAAAAAGCTAATTTCCTACCTGTCCTGGGTTTTCATTGACCAGCCTTAATATGGCATGAACCGCATGCTCTTTCTGTATCTGCTGCTTCCATTCCTCAGAGTTCTCCAAAACGCCTCCAAGCCCATCTGTGCCAAAGTGATCTTTCAGTGGCAGCTCTGGCCCAAGTAAAGGAGCCGCAGAACCTTTGAATACTGGAATCTGATAGGAAACGGTACAAAACATGCCATCTCAATGTTCCTTTCATCTCTGTTTTTGACATTTGCATTTTATTTAGACTGACCTGGGTTTGTTGACAGACTGTCAGGACCCGCATTACATTCATACACACATTGTCCACATTGGTGTTCCCGAAGCAGCAGGTGATGCCCAAAACCTTCACATTAGGAGCTGCCAGAGCAACTATGATTGCCAGAGCATCATCTATACCACAGTCTGTGTCGATTATCAGCAGCTTCTGTGCCATGATTTAATTCTACAAACATCAGTCAGGTAAACACACTTAATCACACACAGCAAGGGATTGGGAAGTTACAGTGCTCAGCATAAACGCGTACACCACATTTTAAAATAAAATCATTTTATCCATTTCTTAGTCAATAATATATTTACCTGCATTTGAACAAAACTGATTTACTAAACGTTTATTAATATTTTAGTCACCAAACATATTTAGAAATAGAAAGATATGCATTTAAATTTAAGCTAAATATTGCACAAAAAAACTACATTGATTTTTCATCTTGGTATTTTTTATTTGATATTTTCCTCTAACATATACATTTGTGTGTACAAATTTTTGATCTGATATGGTAAGTTTTTTTCAGATTGGCTCCAGTACTGACTAATCTAATTTATAGGCACATATATTTTATTGTAAAGCATCCTATATAAAATATTAATTTGAAAGGCAGATCTGTGAGGTGTATATTTATATCTGATGAGCACTGTACACACATGGAGATTACTAACCATAGTTAATTTGTTACTAACCACCTCAGTTATTGGTCAATACATTTAAGACATCAAGTAAATGTGTTCCAAAGTAATGTGTAATCGTGTTTAATGTTTTTTTGAAAAAGTAAAAAATTATTATCAAAATCTGAAAAACTCAATCATCAGATCTGTTTGAGTTTCTTTTTTTCTGTTAAACACAATAGAAGATAGACCAATGTTGGAGCTATTGACATCAATATTATTAATATTTTTTTTCTACAGTGAATGTCAGTGGATACAGGCTTCAACATTATTCAAATTATCTTTTTTTTTTTTGAGTTCAACAGAAAAAAAACTCATAAAGGTTCTAAACCACTTAAGGTTGAACATTTTACTTTTTGGGTGAACCGTCCCTTTAACTATATTAAAACCTTTAAACTTCAGAGCTGCCTGTTTGGAATAATCAACAAAGTGCTGCAGTATTATTATACTGATTTAATTATATCTATAACAGTTGCTGCTAAAATGTTAGCTGCAGATTTGCTTCTGTTTCTGGGTTAAGATACTTGCTCTACAGACCTCAGTTGTACAGTAATTGTGCAGGGTTTAAAAAGTCTTCAAATGTCTTAAATTTCAAAAACAAACTTTTAGGCCTTAAAGTTTTAAAATATTGTGTTGTAGGTCTTAAATTCCTAACTTCTTACTGCTTTTATTCTAGCTGAAATAAAACAACTAAGACTTTTTCCAGAAGAAAAAATATTATCAGACATACTGTAAACATTTCCTAGCTCTGTTAAACATCATTTGGGCAATATTTAAAAAAAGAAAAAAAAAAGAATCAAATGAGGGCTAATAATAATTCTGAATTCAACTGTGTAAATATATATATATATATATATATATATATATATATATATATATATATATATATATATATATATAAACAGAGCATATCCCTTTACATGACCTTCTATTTATAAAAAAACCTATTTACAGAAAAATGGGGGAGTAGACATAATATATATAAATAGATATGAAACTTAAGGTTTTATATTGGAAACGCATTAGGTTAAATAGGAGTTATATTTAATTATATCCATTATATATAGGAGTGATATTCCTTTGGACAAAAATCCAACAAATATATGATTTTGATTATTCAAGTAATTTTTCAACAATAAATTTACTTTTAACAATGCTAAACTTGTCATTTAAAAAAAAGAAACATTTATTTTTATTTTTTCTGTTTTCTTGACACATTAAAATTTGTGGCTAAGAAATAACTACATCAGGCTTTAGAAAAACAAACCTTTGTGTTTAGCCTAGTATGAGTGTAAAATTTCATTCTTAATGGTCTTGAAAGGTTTTAATTTGACTTGATGAAACCTGCAGAAACTAAACTCCGTTGTGGTACTGATGACTTTCTATCAGCTTGAATCTAAATACATTACATACTAGTAGATGTTTGTGCTAATGAGTAGTTTAATAGGTTACCATAGTTCAGAATCTGTTGAGTAGGTTATAACATAGTATATGATATTTTCTAAAAAATAAATAATCATCAAAATAAATTAATGTGATAAGAGCTATATTATACTGTATTGCACATGTAATAAAACTAAAACAGTTCTAACAGTGATTATTTTAAACAAAAATATTTAATATTAATTTTAAAAAGTTACTTTAGAAAAGTTACTTTATAAAAATGGAAAAAATATATGAAGAGTTCAGATGCAAAAACCTCTAAATGCCATCTAAAATTTTCTTCTAAAACGAGGGATTTTGTCAGGCTCCTCTGTGTAGGTTCAGTAATTTCCCTTTTATGCCATAAAATTAGTTATTTTTATGGTCTTTAAAGTGTAATAATTCAACAGGAACATAGGAGGCTGAAAAAAATGCTACATTTTAGTGGAAATTTTAGACGGCACTTTTTTTTTTGCATCTGAACTCTTCATATTGTGACAAGAGATCAAAGTTCACTTACGCAACTTCCTAACAGCTTCTTCTTGAAAATTATTTTGTAATATTAAAAGTAGTTAAAATACAATAACTTTTAAGAATAATCTAACTTAAAACTATATAAATATGAACATTTCAAAATAAACTGCCAGTCTGTACTCAACTCATTATCATCCAATGTTACTTTCTGCAGGTTGTCTTAAACTAGAAAAATAAAATACTTGTAATAAAAGCATATTTAACAGGTATTTAAAAAAATTATATGAATTATTACTAGACATTTGTTGCTCACCTACTCCAGTATCGCACCTGCCTAAGGATTCTGTTCATTGAGAAGCAGTTCAGTTCACTTTCCAGACAACCACGCTCTACTTCCCCTAAAAGATTCCAACGAAGGAGGTGGAACGCTTTTTAAGATTATCTACATTTACAAACCTATTTGCCATAACCTTTAATGTTTTATATAAACATCGTAATCTTTACCCATGGAATATTGCGTTATACATTCTGAAATTCCTCGACACATAAACTTTGTCAATAAATCATGCATTGGCAATTTCTATGCTGATCTACACCCCTGTCGTTGGAGATGGTATAGTCCGTTGAAACACAGCTAGGCAGTCAGAGAGGTCGCGCAGCGCATTTTATATAAAATATTCCTGCTGAACTTGCGAGGTAAGTGCATGTTGACAGTTTTTATTATTATTTTAAACGACTAATTAATGAAAGAGAAACATTAGCATCGTATTATAACGCATTTTATGTAAAAAATAATTATTTACAAGAGACTATTGATGGCTACATTGATGCTGCTTAGCTGTTGATATTCGTTATCTGGATAATTTATATGGTGTCTTCGGTAACGTAGTTTAAACGTCTAGCTACTGCGGCCATTTAATCAGTAATCTTTTCCTAAAATATTGCCCGACCGTCATCGATTAAGAATGACCTAAATGATGTTTGTGTTGACGATGAGGAGGGTGATGATGATGTATGTGAAATTCAAGCATGTGTTACCATCAGCTTTAGTCTATTGAAATGATGAAGCTGCAAGCTGCTGTCAGTCTCAGATGATACTGGCCCATTATTTTCATCCAGTTTTTCTTCGATAGCAATTTCTGGCCTGCGTTAGCACCATATAATCATCAATAATCATGGTGATGAAGTAAATAGTGCCATACCACACCTTAGTTAACAAAAAACGCCTTTCTATATTTTGGTTGTTATATTTGTTGACATGTGCGTGACTGTAGTTACTCATGTTGCAGTTCAGATGTTCAGTTCAGAGACGTTTTAAAATATTAATCGTATTTACGAATCATTGTGGCATGTTCTGTAAAGAAAACCACTGAGGGAAACAACAGGCAAGAGAAACACAGAACCTTAATGACTGAAAACAATAATATTTGTATACTTAATTTTTTTATCATCCTGTAAAATAAATATAAAATAAAATAATATAAAGTCGCCTATAAAATGCTTTTTTTTAACTTTAAGTCAAAAAAAATGACTAGTTTGTCAAAGGTAAAGCTAAGTTTAGCATTAATATATTTAGATTTTAGATGAGTAAACAATGGTGATTTGTGTTGCGTATTTTTTTCTGAGCGAGACCATTTTACTCTAAAACGACTTCAAATAGATTGAATAAATTAGTGTAGTGAATTGTGTTATTTTAATTGTGTCACTTATTCTTTTATCACTTTGTCTTCTTGCTATTATTACATTACACTGTAATTTTATAGTTCTGTTTTCTATTTTGTTCCTAATTGTAGTCGGTGGATTATTTTGGGACTGAGTCATCATATCTGCGGTACACCTGACCTGTTGGTTATTCTCTTAACCATCATCCCAGTTCTCCATTCAATGCCTAACACTGTGGAAAGTGAAGGCGCCAAGGTATCCGCTAGTACAGATCAGGAGGCCCCATCACGGGCCCCGGGACGAGAGGATGAACGTGAGCGCAGCTTCCTGAGCCCCATGATGCGAGATGCTCTGCGGGTACGACGGGCCTCCAGCGCAGAGCTCCAGCTTCCATGGACGTGCCCTGTAACCCACTCCAGGGAGAAGTTCTACACCGTCTGCTCGGACTATGCCCTGCTCAACCGAGCTCGACCAGTTATCACATCCGAAGATGCATCACAGACCAATCCTGACAGCGGGACATCATTAGCCAAGAGCAACACAGCAACATCTTCTCAGAGTCACTCAGGGGGAATAAGCGTATCTTTAGATGGGAACTGTGATATGGAGGTTGTGTCCTCCAGCAACAAGCCTGTGCTGGCCTGGGAGATTGACACCTCAGATTTTGATGCCGTTTTAACCCGGAAAGCCAGAACAAGTACGTTTCTGTCTAAAATAATCACACCTACACATCCACATATACAGCGGCTAAAATAAGTATCGGACATATCACCATTTTTCTGTTGGTACTGTTGATTTGATTTTTTTCTCCAGATGTTGGTAAAAACCAAAGTAATCCATACAAACAAAACAAAACTAATTACTTTAGAAATTAGTTTTGTGTAATAACATGAAATGACACAAGAAAAATAGTGAGAGAAAAGTGTAAAGATGGATAGAAAGACAGACAGGAGCAGAAATCTCTGTTTACAGAAACCTCTTCAATTAATTTATATTTCTTGCTTCAGTTCCAACATTACACACCTTCATTACTAGACGATGAAGATGAATTGGGGGTGGAATTTTCAGCAAGATAATGTTTTCAGAAAAGAAAGTAAAGCTGCAACAGTGGCTTAGCCAACCACCTGACCTGAATCCAATAGAAAATAAGAACTAAAGATCAGAGGCAATAAAAAGCCTTTTATACACTAAATACATTTCACTAGTACATTGTTTTCTCCTTGTGTCATTTCATTTCATTTTTTTTAAATTCAGTTCAATTTAATACTGATGTCAGTAAATGTGTAGGTGTAGAGGTCATTGATTTAAATGACATCAGCACATCACTAGTCTCTCACACTGCTCTGCTGTGATCCTGATCTGCATTTTTACAGTCTCCTCCTCAGTTTACTGATTGTAGGAGTTTAATTTCCTTTATTTTGTCAGCAATAATCTTCCAGAGATTTTCAGTCAGGTTTGGGTCAGGACTCTGGGCATGTCGTTTTATTATTTAAGTTTTTTCAGTTTCTAGAAACTGCTTTGCTATTATGCATAACAATTGCTGGCTGTTTGGGCCACGAAGGAATCACATGTTGCTAAAGAAGCTTCTGATAAACATTTGCATGAACCTCTTGCCTGTATTTGTATAAAAGGCCATTGTCCTATCTTTTTTTGCATTTATGTTTTATAAATTACCAGATTTTTTTGGTGGACCTTTATGATTTAGTGACCTTGTAAAGTTGCAATATCCTAGAAATATTTTAGATTTGGAAGAACAATTTCTTTCATTATTGACCTTATTCTTCAATGAGGAAGTGCGCTCGTTTTTGCAATTGTTAACTTTCAATTAAGCTCACAATGGGAGAAATGACTAGGAATAATAAACCGCAGAAAACGGTCAAACTAATTGCTCTACAAACAAGTGTTTGTATGATTATTCAAACAAAGTAAAATCATATAATAAGTAAATGTCAGTTTGCAACATCAAGCAGCTTAACAAGCTGTTTTTAACATCAAAAAATGAATGGAGATGAATGAAACCGGAAGTCTCGAGCCAAAAAGATTCAGATGGCTCTTTCCACAAATGGCTGTGCAAATATAGATGAAAAAGCCTCATCCCATTTGGCCTTGATCTGGATAACCTGTCTGGGGGTTTCACTGACTGTCTAAGATGGTGAGCAGATCTAAAGTCAGTGAAAACTGGAGGGTTGGCTGCCAGTTAAATAGGCTTTGTCAGACAATTATGAATTTACCTCTGGGTACCAGATTAACATCAATAACTGGGAAGAATCAGAAATCTTTTTTTTTTTAATAATTATTTTTTTTAGGGGTTTTTACCTTTATTATAATAGGACAGTGGAGATTTAGAGACAGGAAAGTTTAGAGAGCAGAGATAGGGGAAGGGTCGGCAAAGGATCTCGAGCTGGTAATTGAACTTTAACTGGTCGCTGTGAACACCTCGGTGCCATGTGTCAAGGCTCTAACTACAAGGCTATTGCCGCTGATAAAAGTATTGATGCTTAGCGAAGATGCTTAAAAAATAATGACCCAAAATTCAGGAAGTTAAAGATTGCACTCTAATTTCCAATGTTATTAGGGTTATTTGCAAGTGGTTGAGCATAATAATGCCAGGAGAATGAGCTCATTCTGACCATCTGCTGTATTTATATAACTCCAAAGATGATGTCACTGGCACGGGTAACTGTAAAACGTGGATTTAAATGCATACCAACAAGCTTCATTTGCTAATAATCTCAGGCTCAGAGTTTATGGAGAGATTGTATTGGACTTTTGCCATCACTCATTGATTAAATGCTGTGTAGAGATTACAAGAGTACAAGATTGCTGATCTGAGAAATCTTTACCAAGACAAAGAACACAGAAAAGATTCAGACTGATAATCAATCTCTCAACTAGTATACTGAAGCTAAACACAGAGCTTACTTTTATCCAAACCCCAGTCATTTTCACTGTATTGTAAGAGACTCTTATGTATTCCAATGAATCATGTATCTCCTACTTGATGAGTGAGTGTAAATTTAAACCAGCATGAATATAAAATAAATTATTACAGTGATATTAAAAGATTGCATTTGTGTTGTTTCTCAGGTAATTTGAAGAAATTCAACACTAAGAAAATGAAATCATCTGACAGGCCAAGCAGAAACCTGCAAGATGTCCCGCCACAAGCCTCTCTGGATGAAATCAAACAGAGAAAAGTGCTGGACCTCCGTAGATGGTATAAACATATTGGAACTAGATATGAGATCTAAAAAGTACGCTTTTTTTTCATGCGTTTTCTCTGATGTTCAAGGTACTGCATCAGCCGACCACAGTATAAAACATCATGTGGAATCTCTTCACTTGTTTCTTGCTGGAACTTTCTCTACAGTACTCTCGGAGCAGGCAGGTCTGTGTGTTCCTTGCTGACATTTATGGCTAATTCGTGAAATAATATTATATGAGACTTGCTGTAAGCTGTTCAAAACTATACTAAGGATTATATTTTTTGGCAAAAACATCACATTCATTGAATCTGTTCTTGTGTTCAGATTTTTGGCCTAATCTAGTAGAAAATGCAAAGAGTAACCTTAAGGATTTTTTTGTTCAGTCTCCCACCTATTTCTCAAGAAGAAGCTCTGCATATACTTGGATTTCAGCCTCCGTTTGAAGATATCAAATTTGGACCATTTACTGGCAATGCCACTTTAATGAGGTTAGATCGCTGCATTTTTTGCTCTTTTTGAAAAATAAGCTTTTGTGGTTTCTCAAAATGTGTTAAAATATACATCTATTGCTGTTTTAGATGCTACACTACTAAACATGTACTTTATGGGCATTTATTTGATGAGAAGTGCAGGGAAATATACATTTTCTGTTTTAATTTTAATCAATTTAATTCTAAGTCGTTTTTATGTACCTCTTGTTAGTGCTTTGTACATTGAGCATGTTATATATATATATATATATATATATATATATATATATATATATATATATATATATGTATATATGTATATATATATATGTATGTATATATATGTATAATATATGTATATGTATATATATATATATATATATATATATATATATATATATATATATATATATATATATATACACACACACATATATATATATATATATATATATATACACCCCTGATAAGTTGATAAGGGAATAAATGAATATTTATATACAGTTGAAGTCTGAATTATTAGCCGCCATTGAATTTTTTTCTTCTTTTTAAAATATTTTCCAAGTATGTCTGAAAATATTTTTTCTTCTGGAAAAAGTCTTATTTGTTTTATTTCGGCTAGAATAAAAGCTGTTTTTAATTTTTTAAACACCATTTTAGGGACTGTTATACAATAACTTGCCTAATTACCCTAACCTGCCTAGTTAACCTAATTAACCTAGTTAAGTCTTTAAATGTCACTTTAAACTGTATAGAAGCGTCTTGAAAAATATCTAGTCAAATATTATTTGCTGTCATCATGGCAAAGATAAAATAAACCAGTTATTAGAAATGAGTTATTAAAACTATTATGTTTAGAAATGTGTTGAAAAAAATCTTCTCTCCGTTAAACAGAAATTAGGGGAAATATAAACAAGCGGTCTAATAATTCAGGGGGGCTAATAATTCTCTGTTCAACTGTACATCTCATCAAGGTTGCATTAAATAGATCAATACAGAAGTAATATTGTTAAATGTTTTTACAGTTCAATAAATCGTTTTCTATTTGAATATTTATTCTTGTGATTTGAGCAGGGTTATTCTAATCTTCCGTGTTACATGAACTTCAAGAAGTCATTCGAATATGATGATTTAATGCCTAAGAAACATTGAGATGTGCTGCTTAATAATTTCAAAATAACAACAGGAAGTTTTTTAAACAATGTTAAGGCCTTCACATTTAAAATGATTGTACTCATCCCAAACTGTGTAGTGTACATGATCTATTTTTATTTTTGTTATCGATGCAGATGGTTCAGACAAATCAATGATAATTTTCGTGTTCGGGGTTGCTCATATATTCTGTACAAGCCTCATGGGAAGCACAAGACAGCAGGAGAGACAGGTATGTGAAGATCAAATACTTTTTCTTTCTAAGAAAACCAGAGACAACAGAACATTGCTTCATGCTACATATTGTTTTACAAAGCTAATTTTTATGCTTAGACAGCAATTTAAATGTAAAATTTCCTTAATTTATGTAGTTTATCTATTATAAAATCATATATTGTCAAAAAAATAAATTGCATGCATGTTGTAGAGCATGTTTTTTTCTTTGTAGCCGAGGGGGCGCTCATGAAGCTGATGCAGGGTCTTAAAGACGAATCCATGGCCTACATTTATCACTGTCAGAATCACTACTTCTGTCCTGTGGGCTATGAAGCTACTCCACTAAAAGCAGCCAAAGCATACAGGTACAGCATACAGCAAACCATTTCACTGCTCACTCGGTTTAAAAATTGACATAATTCTAAAAAAATAAAGGTAACAAAACATCTTTTGTAATCTAATAAATGCTGTTCATCTGTTTCTATTAAACAAATAATACAGAAAAAAAAGTTTTTAACATTGTTAATAGAAAATGTATCTTCAACAAAAAATCAGCACGGTGGACTGATTAATGAAGGACCCTGAATTAATGATGCTGAAAATACAATCACATATCTATTTTTACAGTCATTTATTTGGTGAAATAAATAAGATACAAAAGACTTGTATTAAGCACTAATACTATTACTTTTTTCAGAATTTTCATCAAAAAGATTTTGATTAAAACATTTTTGTATTTGAAAGCATTTTTGCACAAAACATTTTTAAAATTCACGTTAACCACACACTTTTTACGAGGAATGTTCACCCAAAGTTGTAAATTCTGTCATAATTTCCTACCCTTCCCTTGTAACAAACTATTTAGAGTTTATTCATTCATTGATTTTCTTTTTTTAGTCCCTTTATTAATCAGGGGTCGCAACAGCGGAATGAACCGCCAACTTATCCAGCATATGTTTTACGCAGCGGATGCCCTTCCAGCCACAACCCAGTACTGGGAAACATCCATACATGCAAACTCCACACAGAAATGCCAACTGACCCAGCTGGGGCTCGAACCAGCGACCTTCTTGCTGTGAGGCGATGGTGCTACCCACTGTGACGCTCCATTTTGAGTTTATTTGTTCTGTTAACCACATAAAAAGCAATTTTGAAGAAAGCGGAAAAACTACAACCATTAAATTCTATAGTATTTTGTTTTTTTTCCAACAATGGCAGTCAATAGTTACCAGTTTCAATCTTTTGCATTAAACACACACACAACAAACTCAAACAGGTTTAGAAATACTTGAGTCAGTTTTCATTTTGGGGTGAACTATTCCTTTAAACAGTAGTGTAAAAGATCAATAAGTTTAAGCAACGAGTTCTGGAATAACATAATGTAAAGTTATGAAAGTATTAACCTCTACCACATTTTTAAGACCTTTTGTCTTTAATTAATAATGAAGTTTATTCATGTTTTAAATTCAATTCTTCATAGGGGACCACTGCCTCTTAATGAGATGGAGCACTGGATTCTCATTGGTGAACCAAGCCGGAAACATCCTGCAATCCACTGTAAAAAGTATGGTTCACTCTATGGATTTCTAGTCTTTGGTGACATTATAAACATTATGCCCACATTCTAACTTTATTTTTCATCAGATGGGCAGACATCGTGACGGACCTCAATACTCAGAACCCAGAATACTTAGACATTCGCCATATTGAGAGAGGCATACAGTATCGAAAAACCAAGAAGGTATGTCATTTATATGAGTCAATAATGGTGGAGCAACAGAATAATCTGACCCAGTTACCTTTCCATAACAATTTGATTGCTGTCATCAGTGTTGGGGTAATGCATTACTTGTAACATGAATTCTGTAATTAGATTATTTTTTTATTTTAAATAACTAGTAAAGTAACATTCATTTTTAATTTCCAAGAAAACATCTGAGTTACTTTTTCTCATTTATTGACTAACAGCTCCCCTGACCCATTTGTTGAGATAAATCAGGATTAAGTGCAGATGTTTGCTGTGTAGGAAGAGTAAACGTGCTGTTTACTGTAGTTCTACCTTAAATGTGAATGTCTCACTTGCACAGATTCAATATCCTTCAGTTACCTTAAAATGAGAAAAGTCTGTGAAGTGCAAACTTGGGATATTCAATGCTGAAGAGTGTTTTGTTTTATGTATCCTATTTTTTGTGAACATGCAGAAAAGTTAGCTTGAGCTGCTCTTCAACTGTACAGATGTGAATTTACATTTCCTTTAGTCTGAAGTTTATTCACTTCACTTTAAAACATTTTAAACTTTTAAATTTGAACTTTTTCATATTTTACAAACAAGCAAGTGCAGCCCAGATGAAAAAAGTAACATAATGCATTACTTTCCTTTTTTTAGAATAACAAATGTAGTCGGCGCCAATAGCCTAGTGGTTAGTCCATCAAGACATGGCACTGAGGTGCTTGGGGCGACCCAAGTTTGATTCCCGGTTTGAGGTTTTGCCAACTGATCCATCCCCTCTCTCTGCTGATCACACTTTCCTGTCTGTAATCTCCACAGTTCTGTCCAAAACCCCAAAGAAAATAATAAGTAGGATATTTATTACCATAAAGCACTGTAAAATTGTAATATATTACTTTTAAAAGTAACTTTTCTCAATGCTGATCGTCACTTGGAAATGCATTTACACCCTGTTGTCTGTATCCATCAAGTTAATCATGAGAACAATTTGATTGCTTCCTGTCTAATCATCTAGACTTGTTGTTGGTTCCTACTGAAACAGAATATTCATTTGGGAGTGGGGCTTTCTTTTTGCACATCATTCCCCCATAGCAAACTAAAGGTAAATGGGGTAAGGTTAAGAATATTGTACGTCAGAAGAAAAGGACCGCCACTCCAAATGTGGAAGCAAATTGTCAGACTCTTTAAATGACGATTACCAAAACAAATGTTTGTTTTTTCAGTTGATAAAGCTGTACAGATGAATTGTTCACCTAAAGAATAACAATGTGCATGAGCAAAATAAACATTGTAAATTTGGATTTTGAACTTTGAAATATATGGCCTTGTACGGAGATGTTGTGGCTGGTTCTAATGTTTTAGCTTATCAGTGTATGCTTCTAAGTGTTACTTTGCGGAATATAGTTTAATACTTCCAATAAGGTAATTCTTGACATTTCTGTAGGTTGGAGGCAATCTGCATTGCATCATGGCCTTCCAGAGAGTGAACTGGCAAAAATTGGGACCATGGGCGCTGAATCTGGAAAACCTGAGGCATGATCTCCATCATCAGGCTCCAGAACACAGAGGCCAAGCTTCCACAGAGGACAGTTCTGAGGAGCGAACGGTGAAACGCCTGGGTAGGTCTCTCAGCACGGGGAACAAGCCTGAAAATGCCTGGAAGCGTTTGTCCAACACAGCCGAGTACAGGCACAGAGGCTCTCCAGACAGTGACCTGGATGAAGACATCACTGACTAAATATGAAGGGCCAGGTGGGTTTCGACACTTTTATTCAAGATTATTAACCTTCCAGGTTATTAGCTATAGTTAAAGGTTACAATCCGGTATGAGGTTGTGATGTAAGAGTTAGTGCTCAGACTGGTAAACTTAAAAATAGAAGTTTGACGCCGATAAGAATATGGGATAGAGCTCTTGTGGAGGACATCTGTGAAATACTGACAGCAATGTGAATCAAGTTACACTGGCTTTGGTGATGTGCAGATAAATAAAGGTTTAAAATACTATGAAATGGCTTTTCGGGAAGAGGTTTAAGGATTAGTTCACCCCTAAATGAAAATTGTCATCATTTACTCATCATGATCATTTTAAAACAGTTTGACATTTGTTAATTTTTGGATTGAAAAATTAATATTTTAATGAAACTAAAAAGATTTCTGAATTCTGATCCCCAAACATGAACTGGTAAGTCTATTAAATAGTCATTCTGTGTATTAGCCTTTTAAGTTAAATTACATTAGTAAGTACTAGTGAGTATTACACTTTGAAAATAATCTGACAACACATTAATATATGTACCAATATTATGCATTGATGCAGTTGATGCATTGACATGGGAAAGCAAGTTTAAAAATTAAAAATTGAACCCTGACTAACAAGCAACGAGTGTTTAGCAGTTAGTGCCACAAACCAAGCTCATTCATCACTGAGGGAATGCGTGCAATTTTTTTGTGCATGTACTTGAAAACGTAAAATTTTGTGGTGCATTTAGTTATTGAATAAGTCCATTTGGTTATTTTAAATCGTCATACAGTTGGCATCTTTCATTTTCGGATTAGTGAAATACAGTCTCTCAGTCGTCGTGTGTAACAATTTTGCGTCTTTTTGGACACTTTAAAAATGCAGCAAACTTAAACAGTGTGGAAGTGTACAAACATGTAAAATGTCTGTGTAATGGAGTCAGTCCGTCTGATGCATTTTCTTTTTAATAATTTGATTTAACCGATAATCACAGTGTTATTCTATGTAGCCAAATGAAAGCTTAATATGGCTTTAAAACGGTTTGATTTATGTATTGTAAATACCTAAATTGTTATAGCTACCTTTTGTTTGTTTTATATTGGTTTATTAATTTAATGTGATTTTATTATATTCGATATTTGTAAATCTTTCAATTATTTCAATATAGCTTAGGCTATTTTATCAAGATATGACACTATTGTTTTGAGTCTACAAAAGTGGACTTGTAATTTGTAAAGTTGTATGTCTTTCTGTTGCATTCATATTTTGTATTAATCTTCAAAATAAATAAAAAAGAAAGAAGCCGCTTGCGGTATCAACAGAGCTGTCAAGCAAGCGCTCTTTTTGCGTGGTTTCTCACACACACACACACACTGGCATCTAATGCGCACGCACAAACACATCTTTTAAACTTGACAAAAACTCTTGACAACCTTTACTAGCTGCTGTGTCTTTAATATGGCGTATAGATTATTATGCGTTACTAAAACATCAAGGAGGACGCAGCAAAGAAAAGTCACTTATAAATTAAAACTTTATTTTATGCAACAGCCTTACATTTAAAAGGGAAACAGGAGGGTGATCATAAGCAAAAAGACCCCAGCCTATAAAGCTAGATGTTTTCTTTCCCTTATTTATTTATTTGTTTGGCGCATGTACTCGTGTGCGATCGAAAACTAGTGTAATAACGGCATGCAATCTTTACCAAACTCGGGCAAAGTCCGCCTCTTCTTTCACTCTTCCCCGAAGCCCCAGCTTGCCCTCTTTGGCCCAAGGTATTCGGCGGGCTAAAAAAAGCTGGCTGCTGGCCCCGAGAAAGCCCCACTTTGGCCCGATCAGGCCCCGGAAGTGACAGTGGAAACGTGACTGGCATTAGCTCGCTAGCTTTAGGCGCGATAGTGGAAACGCGGCTGGTGTAGAGAAGAAAAAATAAAGTAGCAAGTCTAGGGACTGTAGGTTAAAGGAAAATAGTGCAGCAATAAAATGTTCTTGAATATACATTTTTTAACTTGGTAAAGTAAAATTACTGAGAAAAACTACTCAATCACAGTAATTTGAGCATTTATAATTGGTTGCTTTACACCACTCTTAGTGCAATGATGACCATAAACATGAGCACAATAAAATAATAATACTATTTAATGGGTTTGGAATGGGGTTGAGTTAATGATGACAATTTTCATTGTGGGGTGAACAAACCCTTTAAGTTGCTTGTAGTTGAAAATGCTGCTTTGTTTAAAACATGAAACAAGTAAATCATGCAGATATCTGCAATGAAGGTATGGTAACATTTATTTTTAGTTGAAACTCAGTTGCTTCAATCTGAATCCACGCAATCATGAATTTCATGCACGGACGAATTAACAAGTCCCTCTGCATATTTTGCAAATGTTTGAAGTTGGGGAAGTTGAACATAATAAAGCTGCTTTGCTTTATACAGTGGACAGTTTTTGCCCACAAGATTTAATCAAAATGTGTGACCAGTTACCATGCTTTAAGTATACAAAAGTCATAAAGTAAATATTTGATTTTCAATCGCATCATTCCATTTTGGTTATATGCTATTTAGTGGATTTATATGATACTGATGGTAGGATTATCTTAGGTCAGTGTGGACTGAAAAAATGATTAATCAGCCTAAAGTGCTTGCAGAATGATCTGAATACTTCATTAAAGACTGCTTTACTATTTTATGAACACAAATGGCTTTATTAGTGTAAGTCTAAAAATACAAACTAAGTCAAAGTTCTCAGACTGTTGTGATCATTGAATATTTCAACAGATCAGACAAAGGTTAAAGCGAAGTGACATTGTCCAATAAGATGGTGTCATTTTATTGTAAATAGCAACTTGGACTACAATCATGTTGTTTTTGAAAAGCTGTAAGCTAAGACTGCATGACTGCTTTCATGTTAAGTGCATTGTGATTTGTGTTCTTCCTTTAACACAGCAACATCTGATGTATGATGTTCAATGTCTAATCACCACAAATCTCATGTCAATCTAATGTGTTGGTATTGTTTTTATTTATAAATAAAATATTTATACATGTTCTTACACATCTGTGCATTATTTCTGAGGCAGCTGGGTGTGTTAGGTATCAGCTTGTTTCTTCAGTCATGGCTGTACATGGAGTTGTTTGAGCTCCGTTATATCAGCAGGACGGACACGACAGCAGCCTCCTGTTGACAGAGATCGGCTCTCCGGTGAGTCAACATGAAAGAACAAGTCATACGATAAGTTCACAGTTAAGCTTATTGACTGGTACAAAATAATACCAACCGATCCATAAAGCCCCTTGTGCTTTCCATTCAAGGCTTAAATTGGCAAATGACGTCCGCATCTCGGTTTTCCATCTGAAATTGTTTAGCAGTGACAGTACAGAGACAGTTTATTTGTGTTACAATCCAAGTCAATTAATAACCACAAGCTAGGCCTGTTTTATTGGAAAAAAATATTTTTACATGACACCCCCTGCTATCACTGCTAATTCTAAGACAGGTTGTATTGATTAATGTAAAGTAATTATTCATTCTATAGCACTTCTACAGTGTAAAATGTGTCAAAGCAGCTTAAAATAGATGGAGAAAAAAGCCATAATATTCCAAAGTTTGGAAACATTCCAGCATATTAAACATTCAGGAGAGTAGTGGTAGAATACTAGTGTGTACTTCTTGCTCATTTAAGACAGATTCATTCAATTTAATGCAGATCTCACTGTTGAAGTTTGGTTCAGTTACATTCTGTTCAGTTTAATACAAATGTCACAGTTGAAGGACGAATCACTAAAGCTCCACCAGCCCCAATAAAATATTATTATTAATATTAATAAATAAATATTACAATAAAATATTGATAACCTACCCAGTCGTGACATCCCATCCTTCTCCGCTGTTAGGATAGACCACCCAGCTCAAATCTGCTCTTTTGTGGGACTTGGCTGACTCTAGAAGTGGTTTCACCAAAAGAGCAGGGCAACAGTTCACCCCGACAGCAACCAGCTGTGTGGACCTACATGCCATCTCAACCGCTTCAGAAAATCTCCTCCCGCTAGAAATACTATTATTGTCCTGAAACAGATTAATAGCTGTGTCTAGCACACTCTCAATATGTTTATGGATGTTATCATGGGCTATCTTAACATGTTTAGGGATTCTGTCATCATTTATGACCCCTTCACTTGGTCCAAGCCTAAAGTTTGTTTCTTCTGTTGAACAGGAAAGAAGATATTCTGAAAAATGTTGGAATGTACTAGCCGTTGACTTCCATTGTATGTATTTTGCTATTAAGCATGTCTATGACTTCCAGTTACCAACATTCTTCAAAATATCTTATTCTTTGATCAACAGAAGAGTGAAACTTAAACATGTTCTGCACACATTTGGTTGGCTCAACACACTTTGTTGGGGTTAAAAAGCAAACAAAAAATACATAAAACAATTTATGTGGACTATACAGGTAAAGTCTAGAAGTGAGACATCTCCGGCTGGAAGTTAATGATAATTATTTATATTAAAATGCAATTACCGTATAACAATAATTACCGTTTTTACATTACTGTAAGCGTTGCATTTAGGACTGAGGTAGGAGTTAATAAAACACAATTTAATACTTAATATATTAATATGAATAATACTAGGGATAATTACGGTGAGGGTTGGGTAGACATTATTAAATTACAACTATTGGGTAATTTAATAAATTATATAAATAATTCTCGTTAACTTCTGGCCGCATACTCATACCTTCTGATAATTCACTTTAAACAAATCACATAACTTTTCTATACCCCCAGATGATTCTGTCATTACCCCCTTCCTTCAGGTTAAGAGTCTAGGGGTCATCTTCGACAGCATCCTTTCATTCACTGCACATGTTAATAACGTCACCCGGTCTGCTTATTTCCACCTTCGAAATATAAATCGTTTACGTCCTTTCCTCACACCTCATTCAACTGCCATTCTTGTTCATAGTTTAGTCACATCCCCTTCAGACTGCTGTAATGGCCTCCCTAATAAAACCCCTAATAAAGTACAACTGGTACAAAACGCAGCAGCCTGTATAATCACAAACACCCCCTCTCTCTGTCACATCACACTCATTCTACAACAGCTTCACTGGCTTCCCATCTTTATCAGAATGAATTATAAAATACTTCTCACTTTTAAAGCCATCCACAATCTTGCTCCTCCATACCTGACTAGTCTTGTTCATTTCACCACACCTTCTCGAACACTCTCTTCTGGTCTTCTGTTCCCACTGTCCGCCTTCCCACCATGGGGAACAGAGCCTTCAGCCACTCTGCTCCTCAGCTTTGGAATTTACTTCCTCCTGATCCCTGTAATCTAAACTCTCTTTTACCATTTAAAACTTAAACAACATCTGTTCAGAACAGCCTACTCTCTTTAACTAAACTGCAATTTATAAAAAATGTTTGTTATTCTTTTATACAAAATATAAACACATTTATTTTGTGTTTTTTTATCTGACTATTCTTGCTGTCCTGTATGGTGACCTTGAGTGTCAAGAAAGGTGCCTTTAAATAAAATGCATACGACATCTGACTATCGTTTAATGTGCTAATCACAATTGAGGCAAAGCATATGCATTAATATGAGTTACCTTACAGGAAAAAGAAAGCCAGGCTTTAGTTTCTGGAAATTCTTTGAGTACTTCCACCAAAGCCTCGGCTTCTTTGAGGCCAGGAATAGTCTCCATGGCAACAAGATCAGCTCCTGCTTTTACTAAGCACTGGATCTGTGGACGGTGCCAGTCTTTCAACTCCTAAGAGAGAAAACATTCACTTGAAATTCTTATGAGCTGGCACAGCTTGGACAAAGAGCTTCATCTCACATTACCTCCACTGTCATCTTGTCCTCATAGGCTCCTGTGTACTCAGATCCATCATGTAGAAACGACCCATATGGACCAACTGAGCCTGCAACCAAAGGCTCTCTTCTGTCTATGATAGTATATAAACATATTCAGTTTGGATAAATATATATATTTTTTGTATAACTGGCGGGTTTCTACATTTTTTCCACAAATGATAAGCACACACCTGACATGGGCGATTGAGAGATGAATTCAGAGACTGTCTCTTTTGCCAGCTGAACTGCTGACATCATCATGTGCTGAGCCTCCTCAGGTTGAACACCGAGATATTTCACGAATCCCTCAATGCTGGCCTGATACGTAGCTGTTGTTATGACATCAGAACCACTTTGAAGATATCTATTTAGAAAAAAGTCAAATTATACATCATTATCTTTGCCACTAATCCATGACAAACGGTATAATATTTGGAGTTCAAGTTAATGAAAGCAAAGTTCAACTGTCAAAGTCTGAGATTTGTTAAGATGTTGAATAATGCATTTTAAGCACACTTAGGCTGGGTAGAAACTATGTAGTACACAACGTAATATTGTGAAATATTATTAGAATCTTTTTACTTTTATTATTAGAAATTTTATTCTATTTTTACATTTAAAGATGTAATTTATTCCTATAATGACATCTGATTCTAATATACTGATTTAATGCTAAATAATCTTTTTTCACATGGATTTTATCAAAACTAGTCAACAGTAAGTTAAGAAGAACACAATTAACTTGAAACATAAATACTTTTAAAGTTAATTGCATTTAATATTTAAAAGTATTGGTACTTTTATTCAGTTACATTAAATGTGTAGTTTCCTAAATTTAGTCCTAAAAATAAGTGCACTGCACGTCTGTATTTTTATCAGCACCTTGATAATTATCTGCCACAAGGACAGTTCTGAAAGCCAAAGGTATATACTCATAAAAACACTATTTTAAGAGTTACATGTAGTACAAGTAATGTTAATTTTAATGGTTTGCATCAGATATAAACAACGTTCATTGCTTAACAGCACAAAGAAGCTTGTAATTACCTGTAATGGACATCCTTAATAGCCTGTGAATCTGTATGCAGAACGCGTGCACTCCACAGTGGATCTCCCTGCAGTACACAGTACGAGTTTACCATTAAATTACTGACAATAGGTCTGTGTGTCATAATAACTAATTTACCTGTAACTGAAATCCACTTGCTTCGAGTTCTGTTGCTAGACCGCCATCTAAAATGAATGGACTGGAATCCATTTCAGCTGCTGAAATGAGTGGACATACCTTCAGCTTTAAACATTAAACCATTTTATGGAGAGAGTAAAAGACCCTTGTCTTGTATTATATAATGCTTGTGACATTTTAAGCTAAATCTAATGTTAGAAGGATATTAAACCGTCTAACATTTAAATATTTTCCACATAGCTCGAGATATTATTGCATAGCTCAGCAATGAACACTGAAGCATAACTAGTGTTAAAAACCCAACCATAACAAACCCATGTGCGCGCGCGTCAGTTGGCGGTAAAGGTCAGAAACGAACGCTTCCGGGTTACAGTGAGAATCGAACTAAGCAAAATATTCAACCTCCAGTCGTCTGTTTACTGAGTAGACTTCACAAATAGAAGTTGTCTTAATGTTAAAAAGGCTACGCGTTAACTGGGAGTCCGTTTCATTGCTTTATTTGTCGGTAGCACGTTTGATGTTGTTGCTATGGTGATGGTGGCACATAACAGCGAGGATAAAGGAAGACGACCCACCTTCTCTTAAACAACAAACAACAGTCATTAACATTATCCATTTAATAACAAAATTCACACATGGTAAGTGGAAAATATTTTTACTGAGTTTTTAAGATATGTTTGATGAAGAACTAAACTCATAGGATCATGAATGGTTATTTTAGTTTTAGCGGAAGTCATTTGCGTTTTAGCAATTCTTATTTTTTATTGTTCAGTGTCTCTAACGTACTGAGATGAACAAAGTCACAAAACCCACTATATCAAATATGTGTTTTGTGCACTAAATATAACAAATGCAACGTGCTGAACATCTCATGTGAACTGTAAGTTAATCTAACTTAGTTAATCGAGGTTACAAAAAATAAACTGGAAACTAGTTGGCTGTTTAAAGTTTTGTTAAATGAAGAATGTTTATCATGATATACTAAACAAAACGGTGTTTATAAACTTGGAATATTTGTATTGTTTTGACATATCAAACGCTGTTATTTGGTCCACCACTTGATGTCACTGTTTTCCTCCAGAAGAAATAGTTATTGGAGAAGTTGCTTTCAAAAGAAATCTCTGGCTCCTGACTGAATATGGTTTGGTGGACATTTGTAAGTTGCTTAATTTTTGATGTATCTGAAATGTAGTTGTGTGGCCTAGGGCTCTACAACATCACAATGAAATGAAAGACGCCATATTCAGTCAGAAACTTTTATGTCAGTGTGTGGAAAAAAACATGCTTTTTTAGTGTCATTTCCACAACAGACTAAACCCTGTTATTCTGTGGGTAACGGGATATCTTCGCCATCGTCTTCTTTCTCTGTTGTGCACCTACACTGTTTATTTTCCAATTCACATTCGGTCTCCTTAATAGTGTACATTGATCCATCTCCATGCAGACAGCATGAAATGTTTGCAGTGATAGCATAGGGCCACAGCAGGTGTCTGAGAAAGTCCAAGAAGGGCTCTTGAGAGGAAAGCCCTACTTTTCACTGTGTTAGAGGCGGTGGATAAGCCTAGCTATTTCCAGTTAATTCTGCCCAGGTTCATTTACAGGAGTCAGTGATTTAGCTCTTATAGAATGTTCATTTAGATCCACCTTGAAGTGTGTTTAAATCATTTTGGTTTTATGATACAAAACCATTAGGATGCAGTTTGTAATGGGAACATTTAGAGAAAAGACCTTAAATCATTCTGAATAGACATGCATATGTACAAAAAAAATTGGCACAGGCAAATGTGGACATTTAATAGCAGTCCATGTTATGTACCTTACAAAATAATCTTTCAGACTAGAGAAATGAAACAACATGACCATGGAAAGTAGGATAATTTTTCAGGATAAAAATTTCAGTGACCTTTATGATTGTCTTTATTGTAGTTAAAATAATGTTTTAAATTTTATTTTCTGTTTTTTTTTTCTTTTTAAATATCGTTTGCAATTACTCTGAAACCTGATTATATTATATTATATTATATTATATTATATTATATTATATTATATTATATTATATTATATTAAAATGAATTTTAAGTTTTGGTTCTTTATAAACCTTATTTACATTCACACTGAAGCCAAGCAAACGGTATTATATTATATTATGTTATATTATATCATATTATATTATATTACTAATTATTAAGAATCTGTAACAGGACATTATTGCCTCATTGTTGCTTGTTGTAAAAAATTAATTTGGTGTTTATTGGGGTAAAAAAACGAACATTCAATCATTTATTCATTCATTTTCTTTTCGGCCTACTCCCTTTATTAATTTAGGGTCACCACAGCGGAATGAACCGCCAACTTATCCAGCACACGTTTACGCAGCGGATGCCCTTCCAGCTGCAACCCATCTCTGGGAAACATCCATACACACCCATTCAAACTCATACACTATGGACAATTTAGTCTACCCAATTCACCTGTACCGCATATTTTTGGACTGTGGGGGAAACCGGAGCACCCAGAGGAATCCCACACGAATGCAGGGAGAACATGCAAACTCCACACAGAAACGCCAACTGACCCAGCCAAGGCTCGAACCAGCGACATTCTTGCTGTGAGGCGACAGCACTACCTACTGTGCCACTGCGTCACCAACAAACAAATAAATTAATTACATTAATTTACATTTTTTGTCATGTTTCAGGACATTAGATGAGATGATTATAATCTGTGCTAATAAAGAAATAATCTTGACAGCACTTAAAACAATGTCTGAAACTTTTAACTTTGTCCCAAAACTTAATTCTAGAAATTACAATGTGACTCGCTATAAGCTCTTGATGTAATGTATGGCTTTTCCGACCTGTGGGGCAACGTATTTGTACAAAGAAGGCTGTTGCTTGTCATTATTATCTCTGTCACAGCTGACTGAGGGGTAAAAATAGCCCTTGTTTGGGGAAGAGGCCCTGTTCTGTCGAGCTCTCTATTACGTTAAAGGCATTCTCATTGAATTTGTGAGGAATGATAAATTAGAAAGCATTTGCGCTATCCTGCAGATGACCTAATTATCTGTTGTTCAATTAGTTAGTAATGTAATTCCATGTTAGACCTCAGAGTGGACATTTTGCCTCTATAATTAGCAAGCGTGTGGCATGGAGAATAGATGGCATAGTGCCTTGAAATGCAACATTAAAGCATTCTAATAGTAAAATTCACTGCAGATGATTCTATTCAAGTTATTAGTTAATCTAAATAATAAATTAATTATGGTTATCCGTGACTGTCATAAACCCGCATTTCTTTTTCTTGACTTGATGTTTAGATTGTTGAATAATGATCAGATCATTCAATAAATTATGTCTATGCTGCTTGTGTGGTTAGTACATGCTGAATCAAATGTACATGTGATTTGAATATTTGCCACATGGTGGCGCTCTGCCGAGGACAGATCTCTCCAGCTGCCCACTCCATGTTTTGTTCAAGGGCACCTTTAAGTTGGTATCAAGATGACAAACATCAGTGGCTTAATCGAAAAAGAGCATGAACACAAGCATGATTTGTTTATCTTAATAAGCTTTTACATTCCTTAAATTTTGTCATTTTTTAGGTTGCAAAAAAGTCTCAAATGTCTCCCTCTTATAAGTCTATAATCTCTTTCATAATCTCTTTGGTTTAGGACATTGTATAAAGACTTTATGTTGTGTTTATGATTTTATTTATATGACAAAAAGCAAAAAAAAAAATAATTAAAGGGTCATTAAAAATATATATTTATTTTATAAATTTACTTCAAATGATTTCATATTTTGTTGTATTATCTGTTTTGTTGTGCAGAGGCTTTCCGGTGCAATGAATTGTAATTAATTCCATTTTTATGGAAGTTACAATGCCCATTTTAAATTGAGTTTAAGGAAGTATGTAATAATGTATTTTTGCTTTTTTTATTTTGCAAACAGCTTGGTCTGACAAAATTACATAAATTATTTAAGAAATATGGAAGACAGCTTTATTACTTGCCACTGTAAGTCTGAAAAACATTTTTGTTTTATCTTGATTTATTTTTTGAATATTTATTAATTATTATTTCATACACTGTAAAAATTCAGGGTTCTACACAATTCATTCATGTTGTCACAACACAAATCGATTAAGTTAACTTAACATTTTGAACAAATTTATGTGGATGGAACATAAAATATTCAATTGTCTCAATGAAATCTCAAGAATTTTGTTGATTCAGCTTATTTTAATTAAGTAGTTTGAACAAGCAAAAAAAAATTTAGTGTACGTTGCAATTTGTTTTGTTTGAAGATGCAGCTGTATACAACAATGGTTTTTAGGTGGCCTTATTTTGTTTTTGTAAAAGGACACCTATGATGAAAATCATCTTTTGTGAGCTGTTTGGACAGGACTGTGTGTAGGTATAGTGTGTCCACAGTCATATTGGGGTGGTATAAATGCAATAAGTCTCTTTTTTAAAAATTTCCTGATGTTAAAATAGGATCCAAATCCCTCTCATTTTGAGGCCCATCGCAACGTGATGTAGGAGTGTGGTTTCACTGCCCACCGAATAGATTGGCCGCTGTGTATTAACATGTCTCAGTCCATAGTAATGCATATAATCATATCAACAAGGCAGGACATGCGCAAAGCAACTGGGGTTAAAAGATCTGGTCAGCACTCTGAGATCATCAATCATCATCAAATGTGATCAAGAATGAGTTTTACAAGTTTAAAACATTTTTAAAACAGTGCATGTTTGTAAAATTTTTTTTATTTTTTTTGTATTCAATTTTACCGTCTTTACTTCATCACCACAGCCGCATGTTAATACTATTATAAAAGAAGATGCTTCAATCTCGGTTTGTGGATGTTAAATCAGGTTTATTTTTGTACTTTAACAATGTATTTTGTCACATTTGCCGTGCAAAGTTAAACGTGCGCTGTGTGCGTGCGTGCATGTGTGTGTCCATGTTTGTGCGCTTGAACTTTGTAACGACATTGTGTGTGACTTATCGAAAGGCTTGAAATAACTCCACAACACATACATCAAATAATCATTGGGAAAGTTCTTGCTGTTGTATATTTACAAACGTTACGTGGGATCGTCTTCCATAATGTCTGTCACTGTACTGTTTATCTGATGTAGCTGGAGGGTAAGGCACACTCTGACAGGCATGTGGGAACAGTGGGTGGGGAGAACCAGCATTAAAGGCAAAGGCAACAAAAACAGCTACATAGTGTTCAAAGCAAAAAAATCCAACATTCTGAAAGGTATGATAAATAATCTGATTTGTGTTTTGAGCTGAAACTTTACACGCACATTCTGGAGGCACAAAAGACTTATCTTAAATCTTGAAAAAGGGGTCAAATGCATGCCCTTTAAACAAGTTGCAATGACTTTTACAGTATATAAGCTATCATAATGGTTATATTAGCGTATATTAGCTGTTAGGATTATTGGCTTGAGTTTTTCTGTTTGTGCATTTGGAGCATATTTTCAGCAGCAGTGTTTCCAGCAGCTGGATAATGGCTCCCCATTTGCAGTGAATCTCCCCAGGGAATAAGAGAGCTGATTTAAGGTCTGAACCTCTGACTCGGCATGTTACCAGACTCAGCTGCCCGTCTGTGTTGAGGGTCAAAACGCGGCTGTGGGGACTCCCTTGTCCAAGCGTTAGGGTCAGATCAGTGACATTCCCCTGCAACGCCTGGCTTGACTGTGTGTTTTGTTGTGTCTGTTGTGTTATACACAGGAGGAGCGCTTTGCTTTTCTGGCTGAGTGGTACGACCCCAGTGCGGCTCTCCTGCGGCGATACCAGCTGCTCTACTACCCTAAAGATGGCTCGGTGGAGATGGTGTGTTTAGATTTTAGAACCTGATGTTGACGATTGTCTCTGATGTTTGAGTCTTATTTCACTTACATGTGTTTCTCTCATGTAGTTTGATATGAAGAACCAGCGGACCTTCCTGCGGAGGACCAAGTTGGAGGAGCTTCAACCAGAAGATCTGTTTGTTGGAAACCGAGTGAACATCTTTTCACGTCAGCTGAACCTCATAAGTTATGGGGATCAGTACACAGCCAACAAGCTGGGCAGTAAGAAGGAAAGGTATTTCATCACTGACCACCCCTGCTAGGGACATTCAGACCAAGAGCGATAACTTAAAAGATAGAACTAGAACTATAGTGGCCTATTTTAGTAGTCACAAAAATGAAACTTTATATACACATCGAACTATCAAACCAGCACATTTGTGTTTCTGCAAGAACCAATGAGCTTTGTTTTCACATAACAAGCAGGTGTATTTGAGATTCTGATTTTCAATGGTGGGAAAATCTTTCAGATGCTTGTTGCACAAAGCTACACTCGAAAATTAACTTTTGCTGTGTGCCAAAACTACTAATTTAAAATGAGTTGGAACAACACAATTCTTACTTTTTTGGACAGCTTAAAGGGGACCTGTTATGTTTCTTTTACAAATTTTAAAATAAGTCTCTGATATCCTTGGAGTGTGTATGTGTTAATTATAATGTTTTTGAATCTGCCCTTTTTTATCCTAATTGGGCTATTTTGATGACTGTTGCTTTAAATTTAAATAAGATCGTGCTGCCAACACTCTTTTTACTAGTGGGTGGGGCTACAAATGCCTATGTGTCAGCATAGTGGCTGATTCAAAAACAAGACTAACATCATATCATATGCTAATGAGGGATATCATCTCTAATGGGCAGGACTTTTCCCCTCTGACGATACAAAGGGAGAATCAAAGTGTTTCTGCAAACAGTTTTTATGAAGTGTAATTCTGAAAATTAAATTACTACATTTTTACCATTAGAAGCTGATTATACTCAGAATTTTGCCATATAACTGTTTAAACCCCTTTGAAAACTGTTTTTTTTTTTTTTTTTTTTGCATAATAGGTCCCTTTTAATTGCTTTATGTTCAGTCCACTTAAATTTGTAAAAGATTTGTGTTTGACAACATAAATAAATTGTGTGGAAACCAGAATTATTTACAGTGTGGATTGGGTTTTTACCCAGATAACTATGCGTTTTCAAACTCTAGAAGGTGGGTTGATTTTGTTCGGGTTTTGTCACCTTGGTAACTATACGCTACACAGCAAACCCAAACTGGACGAATAGGTGAGTTACGTGACATATATAAAAATACAGTACGTCAGCTTGCAAAAGAGACTGTAAGTTCATGTCTTAATCCCCTTGTCAGGGTTGTTCCTATTGTTATAATTAGTGGAGGAAATGTTGAAACTCCAGCCAGCAGTTATGCAAAAATAAACATTATCCAATATATATGATTCAGCAAAGCCACTCCCAGGCCCTGTGTGTCTTTTTTGCTGAAAAAAAAATGCTTTTATACATGGTCTTTTGTTGCTAATAATTTATTTACATTACAATTATTTAAACTTTATATTATGTGTTCAAATAATTTTGAATTGTCAATTAAAATTAATAAAGACTTTAAATTGAAACTAACATTTAAATATTAATAAAATATAAAATGACACATAAATGAGCTTTAATATATAAGGCTTGGCGACGCAGTGGCGCAGTGGGTAGCACGTTCGAGTCACAGCAAGAAGGTCGCTGGGTCGCTGGTTCGATCCTTGGCTCAGTTGGCGTTTCTGTGTGGAGTTTGCATGTTCTCCCTGTGTTCGCGTGGGTTTCCTCCGGGTACTCCGGTTTCCCCCACAGTCCAAAGACATGTGGTACAGGTGAATTGGGTTGGCTAAATTGTCCGTAGTGTGTTTATGTGTGGATGTTTCCCAGAGATGGGTTGCGGCTGGAAGGGCATCCGCTGCGTAAAAACTTGCTGGATAAGTTGGCGGTTCATTCCGCTGTGGCGAACCCTGAATTTATAAAGGGACTAAGCTGACAAGAAAATGAATGAATGAATGAATGAATATAAGGCTTTTAAAATGACCAATTTGAGCTGTTTGTGAAGCAACATTATTAATATCAGTTGATTAGTTGTCATTGATTTAATATTTGCTTTTATAATATAACTTTTGCTGCATCAACTGTGTATATTTTTGCTTTGTAAATGTATTTATTTTTATAAAATTTCTCATAATGATATCTTTTAATCTTCAAGTGTATTGTGAGATATGAATCAAGCTGTTTCGCTCACCTGTTGTGTGATTGGCTGTTTGCTGCAAATGTCACATTTTTAGGAGCATTTGGTCCAGAGTTAATCAACAACTCTAGATTAAACTCTAAGTTTCAAAGCACTTAACCTGACCTTAACCAGGATTTCTCAACCCAAAACTTACTCTGCAACCCAGAGTTTGCTCAACTCATTTTATGCAACAGGCCTCAGATTTGGTTATGTCAGTTTTCAGAGTTTTTGTTTTTGTTTTGTTTTTGCGGCCTGAACTAACCCTTTAACAGTTGTTATGTTGATTCAAAAGCATCAAGGTTTTTTTTTTTTTGCCTAAAAAGTAACATTCCAAGGACAGTTGTTAACCAAAACATATTTGAATATTTAAAAAAAACTTTATTATGTCAAAATAAAATCTATCTATATGATTTATGTGCTTTATATCCCAAACAAAAAGGACTGTAAGTCATTATTCACTATTAAACCCCCTTCAGTAAGCTTGTTAACCACAACAGCAGGATCATCGAGTTGAACTGTTCCAGATCAGTCTGGTTCATAAATAATGAAAGTCAGATGGGTTTTGAAACAAGCTGACAAAAGTACATTTTTGGATGACTAACTAACCATCTGTTTCATTTTCACAATATATTTTTTATCATCTTCCTGTAGTGTCAGACATTGTTATTAACATAACACAGTGCTCAACATAAATGAGTAAACCCCCCCTTTGAAAATTAGTATTTTTATTAAATTTTAAGTGCATTATTTCTGCTCAAACACCTTCTGATGTCTTTTTTTTTATAAAATGAAATTAGGATGCTCTTTGCCCCTCATGTAACTCAGTGTAAGATTTGAAAAGATTTTGCTGGCTGTTGAGTCGGACTGTCATATGTAGTACCCTGTCTAATGCTTAAGAGTAATTTTTAAAATAAAGATATGAACAATTTGCTTTTTAAAGAAATTATATTTGTTTAAATATACTCTGTAGTTTAAATATAGTTTAAATATACTCTGATTAAACTGATCACCCCATGAACCTAATTTGACTATAAAGGGACCTAATAATATTTAATCAACCACCCTGTGGCAAAATCAGACAGCAGCTGTCGTTACTTTGTGCTTGAAATAATTGCCGTTTGCTGTGTATTGTGTATTTTCCTTTGTCCTTGTTTAGTTCTTAAAAAAAAATGAACAAGAGCTAAATTTGGTGGTGCTGAATAGCTGCAATATGTATGGTGGGGTCTTTGTTCATTTGTGCAAAATTTCATTCAGTCAAAAGCAAAACATTAACAAAATGGAAGCATCATAATATTTATGATCGTGATTGTAACACACCAAAACCAATTACTCTAATAAAATTGAGAAAAACACTTAGATTATACTACTACTTCAGCGTTCAGCTTCTTGCTATTTTGTTTTAACAATAGCACACTTTCTACTGTATACCTAACATCTGTTTTGTGTCTTCTTCAGGACTTTGGCTATGATTAAGCCGGATGCTGTCAGTAAAGTTGGCGACATTATTCAGATGATTTATGATGCCAACCTAATCGTCACCAAAGCCAAAATGACTAAACTTACATGGTAGGTTTTGCTTAATGATAGCAATGTTGGCAGCAGCCCCTCCGCAAAATTTCCCAAGTACATTTTAAAATCTTTGTTTTTGTACAATTTGTGTAATTTGTGATTTACAGGCATGTTCTTTTTATTCACAGTTATGAATTATGCATTATGGGACCTTGATCTCTGCTCTTTTGACTTTTAATGTTGAAAATTCATCTTTGCATTTTAACAATGTAACTTTTATTTACTATTTAGTTGTTTGAAACATTGTATTGTAGAGGAAATAATATAAATAAGTAGAAAAGTGCTGGTATTTTATTACCAGGTATTTGTACTATAATTTAAATCAACCCAGGCATTACATCACATTAAAATTACAGCAATGTTTATAAAGGTCACTTTTTCAAACTACTTTTCATCCTTAAAAGTTGTTGGAGGTAAGATCAAAGTCCTATTATATAATTCAAAATCATAAATTACCAACAACAACAACCAAACGTGAATCCAAAAATATGGAAAACTGATTATTTATCTCTATGTTTACAATGGAAGTACAGAGAAAGGAGGCACTGGGAATTCTTGCTTAAAGCAATTTAAGACCAATTATGCTAATGAGGCATTTCAGTTTTAAAGTAACCCAAGAGTGAATTCTCAGAACTGGTAATGGCTCAAAGTCACATGCTCAGGAAAAAAGTATATCACAGCAAAACTCAAGCACTGCCTGCTCTATACGTTAACCTGTTTATCCCTGGCATACAGTTGTTTTTGTCTAAACCTCTAATTTAGAGGGCGAGTTAGGAATGAAATATAACAATTCCACACAATCTGTTGTCTGTATCCTGAAACACTTTGAAATGTAAGACTTGCAAAGAGCAGAGCATCTCATTAGTAGCCATCTTTACACAGTAACAGAAATGGATTATATTTACAGTACACTACTGAAATTATTAACTGAGGTTGTGAGGGGGAGGGGTGAGAGAAAATATATTAGACATGATTTCCTAGGCCTGTTTTTAAGGTCAGTATATTATTTTAAAGAGTTGTGGTAAAAGGGTGATGACAGAAAATCTATTTCTCTAGCTGTAAACAGAAATAGAGTGTACAAAGAAATGGGGAGTTACTGAAATCCCAATGTTCCTCGAATAATAGTGTGCCCTTTAGCAAATCAACCTCTGGTTTTTGTTCTTTAGATTAGAGAAGTCCTTAAGAGTTAATCTGAAAACATTTAGAGGGCTTCAAAGGGCTTAGTGACCTTGCCTGTTTAGAATTCAGAACTACAAAGCAGGTAATAAAGAGAGTGTGAGCCAGAATGAGACCTTCAAAAATCAGGTTAACTTTGTTCATTGCTAAAACTAGCTAAAATCTATTGTTCCTCCTGAAGATATGTTTGAAAGAAAATGGTTGGAATTGTCAATTAGATTAATGTAAATACCATAGATTGTAAAGTGCAACGATATCTTATTTAAATAATATTGTAGTATTTATTGATGCTTTCATTTGAACGATTGTTGTAGTTTTCTGTTATTTTTTCTTGGAAGTTTTAGTGTTAAGGGCGGTTCACACCAAGCATGATAATTATAACGATAATGATAGGGAAATAATTTGAAAAATCTAAACATTTTTCTGAATGAAAAACAACACCAGAGTTTAGACCAAGCTATTGCGATAAAGATGTAGGGAAGCAATATCATTGCAATAATAAAAAAAAAACTAAAATTTCCTTGCTAATAAATGATAAAGCACTGTCAGCCAGTCAGAATCCATTACAAAATAAAGCGCAATTTAAAGCTACAGCCGACATTGTGGAAAAGTTCACTGCTTGATGTTAAGCCCTCTTTTCAATGATTATTTTAAGATAATGACTTGAAGGCCGTTGGTTATAACATAGGAGGTAATAATTAAAATTGAAATATAAAAATAAAAGTACCTTAGATATTTATTATCATTTTAATGTATTTGTTTTCTCCTTTGAAGATGCAAAATAAAAATTGTTTTGTCTTTACATGGCTCGAAATGAAAATTTTTACTTGGTAGCACCGGTGCTCCTAACTTCAAATATTTAGGAGCACCAGAAAAATTTAGGAGCACTCACCAAAGATGAATGAGCACCGCTGCCAATTGGATATTAGGGATTTTTTGTATTTGAAAACAACCTCATTGAGGACTAACAAAAACCCGAAACAACTGTCTAACTAATTCTTTTATGGCTTATTGATATTTAAGCAATAATTCCAAAATGAATGTCTAATAATTATTAAATATTAATAAGGATGAAAATGACAATAATACTAACAATGAATTACATTTCTCATTATCTTGCTGCCTTGAGTGTGCTTGAATGCGAGTTATCTGCTATAAAAATGTTACATTATGAAAAATAAATGTAATTGTTTGCATCAAACAAAAATGAAGCATTGCAGTAAAATATATTTATTTTGCCCTATTGTTTTTATTTGCATGTCCATTTAATAAATAATACTTTTGCTACAAAACAAAGGAAAGATTATAATAAATCATTCAATTCAAGGCTGAAAGCTGGAAAATTAGTTAGTAACTAAATAGAAAAATAATATACATCTCACGAAACAATGGACAAAAGAAAAGAAGAAAAGTCTCACTTCTACCACTCTTTAAAAGTTTTGGTTTCGGTTTGTGTCTTTTAAATGCTCAGTCTCGTTTTGCGCTGCTTTATATTTTTCTGTGTTTGTGGAAAGCAGGTGAGTCAGCCGGTCCAATATATAAGGGAAGCACAGCAGGATTCTCGCGATGATCACCAGCCCAATACCATTCTTTGTTATGAGCCGCAGATTCAGCGAGTTTTGGGGAAGATGTATACAGTGTTCGATTTTACATTTAGCCAACATTTTCGCTAAACACGCAGTCTGACAGGTCCTATCACAAATGGACCTGTCAGACAAAGTGCGCTCACTGTAACGTTAATTTTGCTGAATAACTGTGCTTATCACTGGGTGACAAGTTGTTATAACACGCTGAAAGCATTATGTAAATAATATAATATGTAATCAATATGGCTGCACGGTGGCGCAACGGGTAGCATGTTCGCCTCACAGCAAGAAGGTCGCTGGTTCCGTGTTGACGTGGGTTTCCTCTGGGTGCTCCGGCTTCCCCCACAAGTCCATAGACATGCGCTACAGGTGAATTGGGTAGGCTAAGTTGTCCATAGTGTATGTGTGTGAATGAGTGTGTATGGATGTTTCCCAGTGATGGGTTGCAGCTGGAAGGGCATCTGCTGCAAAGAACATATGCTGGATAAGTTGGCGGTTCATTCCGCTGTGGTGACCTCAGATTTATAAAGGGACTTAGCCGAAAAGAAAATGAATGAATGAATGTAATCAATATAGCTTATCTCTAATACTCCACAATTACCACTTTTTGTATCGCTTTGAGCAATTCAACGGTTTTAGTTAACAGTAACAGCACTGGCTTAAGCTTTAACACTTAACAAAACATTTTATTGGAACTTGATAATCTTTACTAAGCAATAATAGCTTATTTGATTCTGTAGATCTCTGAAATGGTAAACTATTGTATATTTGTATTTTGCTCACCCATCAGAGAGACAACATTTGACAGTGACTATGTTTACACGGACATCAGTAATTGAATTTTGAATTTGCCGTAATATGAATAAGGTGTTTACATGTGTTGCTTTTTGAATGTTTCTTTCATGATCCCGTTTACCTGTTATAGCACATCATTTGATTAATGTCATTGTGTCGTCGCTATCCACATTTCTTCCGGAGTTTAGTGTAGTTTTGGGTGTATTATTTTTAATTTGTCAACGTTTGACACTTTTACTTTCACTCAGGAACATTTCATGCATGCCCCCCGTGAAAAAAAGAGATATTAGGTGCGAGTATGAACTGCTGGAAGTATGAACAACTCTGAAACTCTGAAATGATAACGCACAGCAGTGTCAATCAGCCATGTGTGTATAGACCATCCTGTCGCAAAGTGCGGTGAATATCCTACACAACGATGCTAGTTTGATTAAAGAGTTTAAATGTCTGTACTGCACTTCAATAATGCCACCAAAATCTGCATACTCTACATGACTTAATTTCCTTTTTGTTTAGTTTAATTTTGACCTTAATCGGATTAAATTAATCATAAATCACTATTTACATGGTAGACTCTTAATCAGAGTATTGTCTTAAGCATATTAAAATTGGTTTATTGGAATCTATGTAAACATACTCTGTGTTTATCTATGCAACCAGTGGAAAATGAAGATCTTGTGAATATAGAATTCAAAGCGTACACATTTGTCTTTATGTCTATATGCATGTGATTTAGTACTACATTTTTTTTGGAGAATGAAACATGCTGATGACTAGTCTTTCCTTTTCCTCTTGAAATATGCTGAGTCCGAGAGTTTCTCCGATAGACTGTGTTGTTTTAGCCTGGTCAGGTTTTGCTGCTTTAACCTTTCCTCAAAGTAGCACACAGCTGTTCATTGACAAACAGTCCATGGTCATGAAGATGTTTAACTTTTTGCACAGGCAGGTTTTCTCATTTCTTACGCTATAGGTGATGTGTCACCAGATTAACATCTGATATAATTACAGAAGTTGTATTAACATGAACTGCACACTTTATAAAAAAAATGAAAGGCACTCTTTTCTCCTTAGATTCATATGTAAATGCATATTCAGCTAAAAGATAACAGGAATTGGAGATCACTTATTAACTCTGTGGACTTTTATGGTTTTCTTACAGGAAGCAGGCAGCGGACTTTTACATGGAACATCAATCAAAGTCTTTTTTCAAGTGAGTCTTTTCTGCGTCAATGATTGACTTTTGTGCAGGTGCTGCTTTTGAAGGAGACTCTGACACCTAAATCGCAACTGTCAGAGTGACTTTGCCATGACTTTGCATGTTTTAACCACAAATTTGTTCATTAGCGGCACATCAATTTTGACAAATACAGCTTTCTTCTTTTAACAACAGTAATCTGGTGCAGTTTGTGAGCTCTGGCCCTGTAATTGCTATGGAGCTGATGGGGGACGAGGCGGTGTCGACTTGGAGAAAAGTTCTAGGCCCGACGGATTCTGGTGTGGCACAAAAAGAGGCAGCGCATAGTCTAAGAGGCCAGTTTGGTACAGACGGAACTAAGAATGCAGGACATGGTTCAGACTCATTGGCATCTGCTGCACGGGTAACCAAAAAAAAAGCAACTGTTAAGAGGATAGGGTTCCCACAAGCCCTTGAAATTCTAGAAAGTCTTAAGAGAGAGTCTTGAAGAAAAAAGTTCAAGTCTCTACATACATAGATACATGTCCTCGAAAGTGCTTCAATTTCTTTTGTGGAAGAAGTTTTCTGGGGAAAAAAAGTTCATTATCTTTCCCTCACTTGCATTATGTGTTACGCACAACATACTATGTTTTTGTACTTAGCCATGACTTTCACATGCCCATGACTAAATGAAATATTTTATTCAATACAATGTTAAATTGCTTTGCTTGATAAAATAATGTAAACACATGAGTCAAAGAAAATTTTAAATGCATATTCATATATCTTAAAATGTTGTGGTTACGTGAGCTTAGCTCCTTTTAATGCAATCCATGCAAACATCAATAACAGATCATCTGAGAATATAGTATAAGATGTACTAAAATTCTTACATTTTATGCAAAACAGAAATACAACACATAGAATATCACATCTCTGTCAAATGGGCAAAATAAATGAACATTCATTCATTCATTCATTTTCTTTTCGGCAACCCATCACTGGGAAAAATCCATACACACTCATTCACAAACATACACTTCAGACGATTTAGCATACCCATTTCACCTGTAGCGCATGTCTTTGGACTTGTGGTTGAAACTGGAGCACCCAGAAGAAACTCACGCAAACACAGGGAGAACATTCAAACTCCACACAAAAACATCAACTGACCCAGCCGTAAATAAATATAAATAAACATTTTTTTATTTTTTTATTTATTTTTTCGCATGTTTGTGTTTGACACATGAAAACTGTAGAAATATATCTTACAGGGGAACACAATGTAATCTTGCTCTCCCTTAAAATGTGTCACACAATACTTTTTGAGGGTTTTGGAATTTGAAAAGCCTTGAAAGGTCTTTGAATTTGAAGCAAGGTGTGGGAACCCTGATAGCAAATACTAAAAAAGTTTAATAAAAAGTGTTTCATTCTATCCGTACTGCTTGCCTTTTAGGAATTGGAGTACTTTTTTCCCTCCACTGCTGGTCACGGCCTCTCAAACACAGCCAAATATTCAGACTGTACCTGCTGTATCATCAAACCTCATGCCATCTCAGAAGGTAAACCCAAACCCAACAGACCCTGCGAATCACTCAACATGTCTAATCAGTCTTTGAAATACCATATTGCAGATGAGATGTAGCTTGGTTAAATATTTGCTATTTAAATGTGCTGTTTATAGTATATTATTAACCAATGTCTTCTCGAAAGTGCACATTATCATTCATCAGAGGAACTATGACGCTATTGATGATATGGCAAACTACATCACTGCTGTCCCAGTTAGTCACTTAGGCTGGGATACTCTCTTTAATACAGGTCCAGGAGCTCCACTAATCATGGCTCCAAACCTTATCACACAGTGTATAAATCTAGTGCTATTAGACATTTCCATATGCACATAAAAAATTTGCATTGTAGATATTTCCACAAAATATTACAAATCTGGGAATTTTATTACCAGTCTTGGAAAAGTAATATCTAAAACAATTCATGTTATACATTCATTATACAATACATTTCATTATACAAATAATTAATTAGTTAATTATTTTTATTTAATAGTTGTACATCAATACTGTAAGTTGATAATTTTGTTGGACTGTATATGTACTATATGTTATTTTGTGGGATGCATACATGCGTATATGCATTTATATACACAGTTGAAGGCTAAATTTTTAGCCCTCCTGTGGAATTGCATTTCTTTTTCAATTTTTTACTTGTGCCGTTTAACGGAGATCTTTTTTTCTACACATTTTCAACATATAGTTTTAATAACAAATTTTTAATAACTGAAATGAACTAAACTTTTGTCCTTACAAACATGACAGTACATAATAATTTACTAGAGATTTTGTAAGATACAAGCATTCAGCTTTTTAAAGGCTCAACTAGGCAAATTCAGCTAACTAGGTAAGTCATTGGTAGGCCCACACGGAATCTGTGCGCGCAGAATACCGCAAATTTGCGCAGATTTTTAGCCCATCATTGATTCTGTTTATTTACTTGTGTAAATGTGTGTAAATTTATAATTATTCAGTTTTTAAAATAATTTCAGTATAATAATTAACTAATATTAAAATATTTTTATAAAAAGTTTACAGTACAGTTTGTAAAGTAATATTTTTTGTCGTTTAGTAGATGTATTATATGCGAGACTTTCTTTGTTTACCAAATAAAGTGGATCTAATTGGATTTGCATTGTTAGTATTAAATAAAAGTTTAAAAGTTTTTTTTTTTACTTCATATATTGTTTTAGTTATATGGCTATATGAAAATACTCCCAAAATCATTCCACGTAAATTTGCAGATTTTTGACAAAATTTCTCAGCTGAAATAGCAAAAAAATGTATGCAGATTCTGTTTGGCCCTAGTCATTGGACAACAGTAGTTTGATCTGTAAAAATCTTTGTTGATCTAAAAAATAACTTCTTACAGGGGCTAATAATATTGACCCTAATTACAAAACTGCTATCATTAAATACTTAACATTAATATTTTTTTTATAATATTAAAATATTATAGAAAATATTGTGAAAATGCCCTTGCTCTGTTAAAAATAAATTATTTGAACTTTGAAAAATATTACAGGCAGGCTAATAATTTAGCATTTTTATATATATATATATATATATTTGTCAGCCCAATAGTATTTTACAACTGGATCGATTGTTTTGATATTTAACCTAGTTTTACACTCTGATTTTACTGGAAGTAAAATAAGCATACAAATAACCTGCGCTCAGTAAATCTGATTACATTCAAACATTCCTGGCTATTTATATTCTGTACAGCACTTTAAGGTTAAAATAATGTTTTGCTGTTGATTAATAGCCATTTCATTGCAAATTGCACAATGCTTTATGGTTTGCGATATCTGTTGTGCAATTTAGGGTTATTTATTGTTATTTTATTGTTTAAATGTTTAAAACTTCTTTTTCAAAAATGCAGAAGTGCAGTTCTCATGAATGAAAGGAGCAGTTAAACTAACAATGGGGCTACTTCAGAGTCCTTTGGTCCTTCCGTGATTGTCTTCTGCTTATATAACTCTCTCCATCCCCTCCTGGCGTACCATTATATTGCTAGTTATATGTTGATGAGTATAAAACCCCCAAAGCCAGTTCGTACTCTTATTCAAGCCTTCGCTCTGGATTTGTCCAAATCCATCTCCTGATCCCTGTTCATGGAGCATGCCGCCAGGGCACTGACCTGTGAAATCTCAAATCCTCTCGATAGGGCTGAGGTAGATATTTCACATAGTGCTCGTGGACTAAGCAGGCCCCAAGTTGATTTTGTACATTGCTGTAGGCTGATTAACCTGGAGGGAATGTTGCACGTACACACACATACACACCAGAACCTGAACAACAGAATATCCCATCACACAAAAAAAATGCATGCTTTAAAACTTTCTTGTCATATTGCATGAGTATATCATTTTTTATAATTAAAAAACTGCTTTCTATAGCTTGAGATGTTGATTGTATCCTAACTGCATACTAATGCTTCAAGCTAACTGTTTCTTTTTTGGACATTTGGACATACAGTTTGGTTTTCGTGAACGAGTGGGAAACAAAATTATCAGTTCGCACAATATTTTAAGGGTTAGGTCACTCTAAAATAAAAATTCTCTTTTAATTATTCACTCTCATGTCTTTCCAATCCCCTAAGTCCTGTCAGAACACAAATTAAGATATTTAAGATGATATTTGAGAGCTCTCAAATCCTCCATAAACAGCAATGGTCCCAAAACACTCCCAGAAAAGGACCCAATAAACATTTCATGTCACTTCAGTGGTTCAGCCGCATTATACGAAGCACCAAAAAACACATTTGTACTCTAAAAAAACTCCTGCCTAAAAACTACTGCCTATATTTTCTATTCTACAGTACATCAGGTTGACAGGATGCACAATTACGGCCAGTATGATGTCAACAGCAGTGCAACATGCAAGTGTCGCATTGCCCATAGTAAATGTGCATACTGATCTGATATAGAAAACATTGGTGAGCAAAGTTATTTTAATACAGATTTTTTATCCACAAAAGTGTTCTCAGAGCTTTATTTGATTACAGTTGAACTGCTCTAGTCACATGGAAAGTTTTGAAGATGTTTTTAGTTCCATTTTGAACTTTGAAAATCTTATGACCATGGCTGTTTATGGAGGATGAGGGAGCTCTCTGATTTCATCAAAAATAATATAATCTGTAATCTCAAGATGATCGAAGGTCTCTTTGAGAGGTCTCTCTTAAAGGGGATTGAAATGACATAAGGGTAATTAATATTGTTCATTCATTCATTCATTTTCTACCGCTTTTCCGGGTCGCGGAACCACAACTTCCCTCTCCCCAGACATTTCCTTTAGCTCTTTGGGGAGGATCCCTAGGCATTTCCAGGCCAGCCGAATGACATAGTCCCTCCAGCATGTTCTGAGTCTTCCCCAAGAAGTCCTCCCAGTGGAACATGCCTGAAACTCCTACCTAGGTAGGTGTCCAAGAGGCATCTGAAACAGATGCCTGAGCCACCTTAGCTGAGTTCTATCGATGTGGTGGAGCATCGGCTCTACTCCGAGCTCCTCCCGGGTGACAAAGCTCCTCACCCTAAGAGTGCGCAGTGCCACCCTGCGAAGAAAACTCATTTCGGCCTCTTGTACCCAAGATCTTGTCCTTTCGGTCATGACCCAAAACTCATGACCATAAGTGAGAGTTGGAACGTAGATAGACCGGTAAATTGAGAGCTTTGCCTTTCGGCTCAGCTCCTTCTTTACCACAACAAACCAGCACATTGACCGCATTACTGCTGCTGCACCAATCCTTCTGTCAATCTTACGTTCTGTCCTTCTCTCAATCGTAAACAAAACCCAAAGATACTTTAACTCTTCCACCTAGGTTAAGGTCGTTTTTCCAACCTGGAGATGGCAAACCACCTTTTTCCGGTGGAGCACTATGGCCTCAGACTTGGAAGTGCTGATTCTTATCCCAGCCACATCACATAATCAGCAGCAAACCACCCCAGTGCGTGCTGAAGGTCTATGTTCGATGAAGTCAACAGAAGAACATCGTCTGCAAATAGCAGAGATGAAATCCTGTGTTCCCTGAACTGGATCCCCTTCAGCGCAAGGCTACGCATTGAAATTCTGTCCATAAAAATTATAAACTGAATTGGTGGCAAAAGGCCTGATTCCAACATGGATTAGAAACAAGTGTGACTTATTGCCGGCAATGCAAACTCCTACTCTGTTCATACAAGTATGAGACATCCCTTAACAGAGCATCTCTGACCCCATACACCCCAGAGCACCCAAAACAAATTGCCATGAGGCACACGGTCAAATACCTTCTCCAAGTCCACAAAACACATTTGGACTGGTTGGGCATACTCCCATGAACCCTCGAGCACCCTGGTGAAGGTATAGAGCTGGTCCATTGTTCCTCCTGTATGCTAGGTTCAACCATCGGCCGGATCCTCCTCTTAAGTACCCTGGCATAGAATTTCCCAGGGAGGCTGGGGAGTGCGATCCTCCTATAGTTGGAACACATCCTCCAGTCCTCCTCCTTAAAAATGAACCTCCATTTTGTAGAGGTTCATTTTCAGAATGTAAAGACGTGTCAGCTAAGACAGCCCCACAACATCCAGAGACCTAAGATACACAGGGTGAATCTCATCCACCCCCTGCTGCTTTGCCACTGCAGAGCCTGCAAACTACCTCAGTGTGCTTAGCTTGGGTGATGGGTAAGTCCACCCCTGCATCCCCAGTCTCTGCTTCATGCATCAAGTTTTCACTTTTTTTTATGGACGCAATATGTGAATTCCCCATACAGATTTAACCTGAGGGATACATTACAAGCACTGATCTATAAGGGATATGTGATTACAAGCTGTGCAGAGCAATTACAAGTGACAACACGCTATTAAATACCTATTTTGCAAAGTAAAGAAAACGAGGCAACCATATTAATCTCAATTACAGCTTGTGTAGTAAGGAGAAATACTTACAGAATCTGGAGGAAGAAGAAACAAACTGTGTAACAGTTACTGACAAAGTCCCATATATCC